AACTTGCATTATCATCGAAGACAACCATATTGATCAAAGACGTCCAGCCGATTTCCCTGACGGAGCGTCCCTACGCGGGATCTTACTAGAATAGCTCATAGCAGAAATCAGTTTTATCGTCTCTCGACATCTGGACTATTCATTCAACTTTTCGACCTTTTGTACATTCCTCAATCGCGTAACCTTTCGGCTTCACAATTCTGGTCCGAGACAAAATCTCTATTCAGAAGAACAAATCAAAGCCGCAAAGCTTGTGAACCGGCAGTATTCTTAGGGTTAAGTTCTGAATCGTATGATTCCTTTCGGAATATCGAGTCAGAGTCTGTAGGGTAGACGATATACTTGGTTTGTAAGGTGAGAGAGGGGTTTCGAATTCGTCGCCTTCAATCGAGGTATTTGGTGTCGTAAAGGTAAGCTCGTTGCTATATGATATTCGAATCGAGGTTGAAGCTCTTCGAGTGACAACTCAATGGGAGGAGGTAGGTGATGAGTCCTGGAGGTTTTTTGTGAGCAAAGAATTGCAAATGACAATATAAGAGGTGATGATGTTTTTCTTTGGTCATGACGATTGGAAGGGGAAGATGTATGTGCACGCGTTCGCGTAAGGCTGGATTTCGACGCGACACGCTAATTGATGGCCTAAAATTTTTACTTGTTAAGCTTCAAGCTTCATCCGCTTAGCAGGCCTGAACATTACCAGTTAATAGGTAGATATTTGCCCAACAGTTGGAATTCTAGGAGTTATATTTATTGGGTATGTAAATTATAAATTCCTTTCCTTGCATTGAGACCTTACTTTTCATTCATACTACAATAGCAATCATTTCGTACCTACTTTTCGCACCTGTTTTTCAATATCATCTACTCATACAAAAGCTTGGAGTGAGCGAGGGAACCACGAGATGTAGGTTGAAAGTTTTCAGCTCAATCTTATAGGCTCCGCAATGAATTCGAACGAGGAAAAATATCTACATTGATGTATGTAAATATGGGAGCTCGGTGGTCAAATCTTACTCAGTCTTATTAGAGTACGAAGCTCAGGCTCTTTGGAAGGAATTTGGGTGACGACGCAGCTTATTGAAAATGTCATTCAGGAATGGCTCCATAACCTTATATCCTTATGTGGAAATTTCTACTCTCAAAGGGGCGAGAGGGGCTACAAAGGATGTACTAGGTAGACTCTTAGGGGTATACTCTTTGTGCATACACATGAACTTTTGAGACTTGTCGTTCTCATTTGAAGGGTACCATAAAGTTATTGTCTTCTGTACCGGTACCGGTGTTATATGAGATACTCGTACTCGATAAGAGAAACATGATCTAGAATACGAAGATATTATTATGGGGGGCAAGCCCGCAAGCCCGCAAGCCCCCAAGCCCCCATGGCCATCTGGGTCTTTCCCACACAGTCAAGTCAGCACATGCCATACAATATATAGTGGATAACCCCTAAACCTTATCACGACTACGCCACACAGGTGGTTACCGATGTTTTCAAATACGCATACAATACGCATACAGTTCTATTGTACGTCACCCACTCGAAACATTTGCTTCACATTACTTCAGAAATCCAAAAGTTCTCTCCAGCCTGCACATCGAAATTGTGATCCTTTTTCAGATTATACTTCGCAGTTCAAACGGCATGATTTGTAAGATTGAAGAATCAGCCCCAATCGGGGTTGTTTGGAGATCTAGGCCGTGTATCACGACTTCCCGAAAAATGAGGAACATCTTGAAACCGCCACGTTTTCAGGGTTTATCCAATCCTGTGAAGAATCCTATTGTGATATCCCGTTACCTTCAAAGTAAACCTAATCCGAACGATCCAATCCAAGACCTCACTATTAGTTTTCCATCTGAAGTGGAGCCTCGAAAATGTTAAGATATCCCAAGAATAGCTTGTTGCTGGCCGTGCGTCTGTTACAGCTTCGTCGAATATCCTTGTTTGAGCGTTGATAGAACGTTCCAAGATGGGCTCGTCTGAAAATCTTCATCAATGGCATACACGCGTTCTTCTTAGTTTGCTTACTTCTTAGATCAAGTTAGGTTATGATGACATGACGTGAAGATAAGGAGGAAGCTGATTGTAGGTTATCTCGAGGTGTTTTGTTCTTTTCTATTGCTGGATGTGATTTTCTACACATTTCTTCTACACACTCCTTTGAATAATTGCTTCATTTGCCTTTTACCATTCTTTTCCTTCATTCCTTTGACTTGATATTCTTGAAAAACTCCTATCTTTGCCTCTTTACCATTTGATATGCAAGTCTTTTCTTTCTTTACAATATCTTTATAATATTACTTTTTTCATACCATCATCATCTACCTCTCATACCATATATCCATTAGCCACCGCCATGTTATTCAATCCACCCCGAAACTCACCTCGTATTCTCTCTCTGGCTCTACTCTCCACCTTATGCCTCTGTTTCCTATTCCAATGGCGTCGCGAACTCTCCTCCCCCAAAACATCCTGGAAACTTCTCCCTACGCCCCTATCTCCCGAAATCTCAGTCAAAGATCCAAAACCCCGCTTTGAATCTTTCCTCTCCAAACTTCTAGAACAAAAACCATCAAATTCATCTCTAGAACTCCCAGACGGATACGTGCTAGTCCGCATCGAGGAGATTAATGAAGAATCAGAACGAATAGACCATCTCACCTTAAGCCAAGAAGATCTTGATATCTCCACAAAAGCCCACTCCAACGTCGTAGAACTCCTCCCAGAATACTCCGATCTAATCACCTACGCCCCCAAAACCAACGGACTGATAACCGTCGGTGGCGGTTCCTACACCCCCGCTCTCCTGGTCTCCATCCGCATGCTGCGAAAAACAAACTGTACCCTCCCAATCGAAGTATTCATCCCCACCCACGAAGACTACGACCCCTATTCCTGCAGCATTCTCGCCTCCCTAAACGCAAAATGTGTTTTCCTCCCCTCTTTCCAAAACGCCACCATCGATCGTTACCAATACAAATCTCTCGCTTTCCTCTTCTCCTCGTTTGAATCCGTCCTCTTCCTCGACGCCGACAATTTCCCCCTCGTTGATCCCACTCCTTGGTTCTCTGCTCCAGTCTTCCAGGAAAAAGGTATGATCACCTGGCCAGATTTCTGGGCCAACACCGCTTCTCCTCTTTTCTATACCCTGGCAAATCAATCTATCCCCGCTATCCAATCCCAACACGCATCTTCCGAAGCGGGCTCAATCCTCATTTCCCGCAATCTCCATAGCCAAACCTTACTCCTAGCCTTCTATTACAATCTCTTCGGACCGGGTTTCTACTATGAAATGTTGGCCCAAAAAGGAATAGGCGGAGAAGGAGATAAAGAAACCTGGGTAGCAGCCGCGAACGTGTTGAAGAAAGACTACTGGCAAGTTCGAGAAAGAAACCATGCTCTCGTGAGCGTAGAACAGGTCGAAAAAGAAGAGGAAGACGAAGAAGGAAATTGGCGAAAAACAGGAGAATGGGTGCGAGTTGGCGAAGAAAATTTAGACGAGGTGGTGGCGATGGTGCAGTTTGATTTTATCGCGGATTATGAAGCTTCGTTTCCTGCACCTCCGTCTTCCTCTTCTTCTTCTGGTTGGAAACTCGATCTGAAAACTAAAAAAGATTCGAAAGTTCCCGAAATGGAGATAAAAGATGTGGAAATCCCCACGTTGAGAAATAATCCAGATGCTGAAATTGTTTTTCTCCATGCAAATCGTATTAAATTGCATCCGGCAGAAGTTCTCGAGCGATTAGATGATTTCCATGGGAGAGGAAGAATGTGGGGGGCGAAAGAGAAAACGATTCAGCGTTTTGGGAGGGATTTGGAAGCGGAGATTTGGGAAGAGGTGATTGAGGTGGCGTGTAGGTTTGGAGATACTTTGTTGTTGGAGGGAGAAGAAGGAGAGGGAGAGGGAGAGGAGGGGAAGCAGGTTTCAAAGGAGAAGGTCTGTGAGGATTTGAGACGGTTTTGGTGGGGGATTTTGGGGGCCGAGGAGCTGGAGGAGAGGGTAAGGAGTGCAGGAGAGGAAGATAGGAGGGAGATGGTGAGGGGGAATGGGGGAGAAGGAAAGGAGTGGAAACCGAGGGTGGGTCATGAGGATGGGGTCAAGAGGGCTGGATAGATTATATAAATCATTGAATGGATAAAGGTGTCAATAGGGTTGGATTATTTTCACAGCATTAGGAGTTCAGGAACAAGGCGTCAAGAAAAGCACAAAGCACAGCATAGAAACAGTGATACCTATTTTTTTTACAACTTTTTTTTTACTATGAGGGTTGCATTTCTGCACGTTTTCAAAGAAAAGACCAAAGAAAAAAAGTAACCATCAACCATCAACTAATCTGACCACTCAGTTGTACCTATTGTACAAAAGCTGTTATTGTCCTGACATCAACTTGTAGGAATGATGTGCTCTTCGGGGATCCGACCAGACGAGAACCTAAAAACAACTAAAAAAAAATATGTCTTCCCAGATGACAAATCTTGGTGCTTCAGCACAAAAATTATGATGTTTCCCAGGAAGTATGCATGCAGCACATAGAATAAAAAGCTCCCCAGAGATGAAGAGACGAAAATTGGGTTGAAGAAAAAGTTTCCCAGCAGAAGAAAAAGTTTCCCAGCAGAAGAGAAAGTTCTCCAAACAGAAGAAGATTCCCCCCTCCCTCCCCAAAATAGCAACTCCCCCATGAGAAGTAGAAACGCCCACCAAAGAAGGCATCTCTGAAGGAAAAAGAAAGATCCCCGAAAAAACTCGAAGCACCCCCAGGAAGAGAATACCAGTGTACAAAGATCCGTTGTTTGAGAATACAATGAGAAATCGTGGAATTATGAAGTCGACAAATCGTGAACCATAGAATCGAGGGAATCGTAGAATCGTGAAACTGTATGTTTACACCACCATCGCCGGCATTCGAAGTACAACGTCGTGTGCTGTGCGAAAGAACCCCTGCGCCTGGTGTATACAAATCGCCCATGATGTACAGACTATCGAATTCGAGGAGAATTAAGCAAGTGCAGAAGAGCCGGAGCTGAGACCCACACCTATCTTAGCTCGTTTTGCAGGGGGTTGGTCCTCAATCTCTTCCTCGCCATCATCATCTTCAACAGCAAAATTATCATCATCAGCACCGACGGAGTTGTTGTTATCCTATTCAGAAAAGTTAGTCTCAAACACCATAAATATTCATAAGGAATGAATTCTCCGACTTTACACAAAGGGAATGGAGAAGGAAGGAAAAATATTGACATACATTCGACAACGACATCAGCATAGTGATGAACGCATCAACATCCATCGTGTTGGGACTGAGTTCCTTAAGCTCCTTCACTTGCTTAGCGAGAGGATTCTCGCCCAAAACAACATCCGTGGTCGCCTTGGTAATGGCTCTTGATGTTTTGGCACCATACAGTCTTGACAGCTTTTCGATGTTGATGCGGCCGATGGTGGGGAGAGTTCCAGAAACAACGAATGTTCTGCCCTCCAAAAATTTGCCTGTATTGTTGAGAAGAGTCTTAATGTGTTGGGGAATCTCGGGTTCGGCTTTCTTCTGGCTCTTCGTGGCGACTTTTCTGGCTGCTGGCTTGTTCTTGCTGGGTTTTGCTTGACCTTCTTCATCATCATCGTCATCACTGTCAGTGATTACGACTGCCTTTGAAGCTGCTCTTGATCTGATGGGGCGTGGCTTTGTCGGCTTTGGAACATCATCATCCTCAATCTCGTCATCTTGAGCCTGGGTTTTCTTGGCTACCGCTCTCCGCTTTGCAGCTGGCTTCTTGACCGCGGCGACTTGAGACTTTCCTTGATTTAATGAGTCGTTAGGAGCTTCAAGTTCATCATCATCGTTATCAGTTTCAGAATCAATCACAACAACCTTAGCCACCCTGGTTCTCTTAGCTCTGGGTTTTTGCACCTTTCTAGGAGCCGCAACGGGCCCCTGGATGTTCTCGTCGTTGTTAGGGACTTCAGGATCAACCTCGATAGTGTCAGTAGCCTTTGTCTTTCTCGCTCTTGGCTTTGTTAACTTAGAAGGAGCTTGACCTGGGGCCTGGACGGTTTCATCATCACCAATGGCTTCGGAATCAACCTCAACAGCCTTGGCCACCGCCTTTCCCTTCCATGCTCTAGCTTTTACTGCCTTTTTAGGAACCTCAACGGCTCCCGCAACGACAACGACATCATCTTCATTGGCTTCAGAATCAACCTCACCAGCCTTGGCCGCGCTTCCATCCTTTGCTCTTGGCTTTGCTACTTCGACAGGAGCCTGAGCTTGAGCTTCTGCATTTTCAATCTCCTGGATTTCTGAGAGAATGTCTTCTATTTTTGGAAGAGCCTTTCTTCTCGGCTTCCTCTTCTTCTTAGTATGATTTAAATCAAGAAATGTCTCGTCTTCCCTATCAGCCCAATCCGCTGGAGCAGCTTCAACAGCCTTGGGTTCAGACTCGGGTAAATCATCCAAGGGATTCTCTTCGAGAACCGACCTAGCGTTTTGCGAATTCGAGGCTCTTGTGTCTCTAGTGACGGTAGTATTTCCACCGCGGAGGTGGACGGGCAGAATTTGGAGATAACCGGGGTAACACGACCTAAGCTCTGCATATCTCTCCTTTGCTAATTTTAGAGTGACATGAGCAAGTGGATCGATACCAATATGTGATTCATTGAGAATAATCCAAACCTGAGAAGTCTCTTGTGCGGACCCAGCCCAAGGTTTACCAAGCTTCGTTACGGCATCAGTTGCTGTCTTGATGACAACTTCCGTTTGCAACTTCTGATTCTTCACGGGTACGTTAGATTGTTGGAAATCATCTTGTAGAGTGGAGAAATCTGCTCCACGGTCTGGGTTCTGTTGTGCCGGTGCATCGAAAAATAGGTCATCCGTTGATTGGTCCGATTCTTGACCTGTGCCTTGCATCAAGATCTCTGCTTGAGTTGATGTGGACTGGTGGGTTGTTGGTCTCTGATTTTGTTGCATTGATGACTCGCCGTTTTGATCAACCGGATTTTGTTTTGCGGATCCATCGGTGTGTTCAGCCATGTGGTCCTGCTTCGACGCCTCGGCAAGAGCTGCTTGTTCCTTACTCAACTGTTCCGATTTTCCAAATCGAACAGCTTGATGAGCTAACCAGTAATCATTGTGCTCTCTTTGATCTGATTTGTTGAAAATTAGGCCGGAGTCACTGCCTTCATTTTCATCTTCCTTTGCTTTCGCGTCTCGATCAATTTGAACGCTCTCCTCCACTCTTTGTTTTTGCTGTCTTGCTTGTCTCAGTTCTTCCTGCAGTAATTCTTCTTTGTCTGCCTTTTTCTTCTGCGCTGCTGTCATCTTTGGCTTTGGTGCTGAAATCCCTGCTGGACCCGTTGCTGGCTTCGACATCTTGTCGGGAACGTGATGCGACAATGGTGATATCTCTGGAATGGACGTGGCAAGCAGTGTCTCAAACGAAAGAAACCGAAATCTGTGATCTTGTAGAAACCAAAAAGATAGTTTGGATATCAAATCAAATGACTGAGTGAGCTTTTTGATATCTTACTTATCAAGATAGAGAAGCAAAAACCAAAAACAGAAGAACTGTGGCGGGGAAGGAATGTAAAAGAGAGCGTAAAAGATTAAATGGCGAGAAACCAAAGATCTTCGTATCCTAAAATTTTAATACAGAAAAGGATGAAAGAAAGTCTAGAAACTTTTTTGACTCGTTGTCTTGATTGTTTGTTGAGGATGGAGGAAGGTTGGTGGTCGGGGATTGAGAGTTGTTGTAGTGAGAATATTTTTGGGGATTGAAATTGCAAGCGGCACAACGCCCATATCTCGGTGAGCGTTTGCCCTAATCGCTCAATAGAGCAATCTAATGGCATTATTACAATTTCGGGAGAAAGAAGGTCCGACTGTTAATCTCAATTTTCAAATCGTATTCACTGTTAAACCTATTTGTGTGAATGGATATTGTCGTCTGTGTCGTCTGTGTCGTCTGAAGTATCGTGATCGGCAATGGGGAGATGATGTACCGAGGCTTTCAAGTCGAGTCCAAAATGACTTCAAATTATTAACTGCTCAAATTGACAATGGATGCTTCAAGTTTTTGTTACAATCACCTGGGAGGTTTCAATGATCTCTTATGATAGTGTCGATTAACCGGAGTTTGCATATTTCGAACATCTATACTAAACAGCTGTCAAACAGTCTCGCGCTAGAGATTGGATGCTACAGATGAATGGAAAGGGGGCGATGAGTCAAGTACTAGATTGCTTTAACTCAAAGAATCAGTGATCCCATGTCTCTTCCACGTCTAAAAGAACAATTAATTCATAGATCAATAGGAGCATTGGCCTAGTCTACACACTATACAAGCGTCATCTAGACTTAAGTTTCAGATTTGTAGTATGGATTTGAACTATCCTCTTAACTTTACTCCCCACCCAAAAGCTATCCTTCTAATGCATTCCTCGTACCAATAGTTGAAGCAAGTGTTATCATTTTGACCTCTAATGCGTCAATCTTCACCGTGGATGAAAGTGTTGAGAGCAAAGAAAAAGGAAAAGAAACAAAGCAAGCATAGCTACTGGACTCGGTAAGGTTAGCACAGAGACAACTATCAATAACTGACAATTTCCTGTATGCGTCCTCGTTGCGCAATCTCATCTCCTACCTCGTCAGCTATGACTTACCAACGCTTGCCCTATGATTCAGACCGGAAGCAAAGCCATAGAACGAAATTGAAGAAGGGGTTCTCACATCCGAGAAATATATACGATTCCAGAAAGTCAGCTGAGATAACGAGCGATGTGAAGTCGCTCACATGCGTCATAAAGATGCTGACAATGAGAGACTTAAACGTGGAAAAGATTTTACTAGAGAAGCTTCAGTTCCCACGTCTGTTCAAACTTCAAGGATTTGGTAGTGAGATGAGGAATCTCATGAAAACAATGAGAGCCTGAAATAGAACTTCTAGTGAAGCAAAAGCCGAAGAAGAGGGAACTCGCAGACGCAGAAACTTTCGTACAGGCGAAACACAAATCTAAGCTTGCTGCTCAGGTCTGGGGTAATTTTGAATCCTTTACTAATTTATTATAATAATTAATAGTCGGTTCTTCAAGCAATCAACTAGTTCCTAGTTGGGGAAAGCAAATGTCCTTGGAAAGCAAATTGTCCTTATAAGATTTTGGTATAGATTTTGTAATTTTTATTGAAAAATATCTGAATTTTATGAATAATATTATGAATTTTAAAGCAATTCAAAAAAATCTAATATTATTAAAAAGCTATAATCTTATTGAATATAATTATATAAAAAGTTCAAAAATTATTCAAAAATTAAAAGTTATGTATTAAAAATAAATTAAATTTCTAATAAAATTGAATGATTTTGATATATTTTGTATTCAAAATCTTACAGGGATAATTTGCTTTTCAGGAATATTTGCTTTCCCCGACTAGGAACTAGTTAGTTGTTTATAAGAGCTGATTATTAAATCCAGAAAAGATATAGTACATCGCTCAATAAAATCTCGCATGACCTACAATAGGGTTGCAAAATTCTTTGACATTGAAATGAACTCAAATAGTTAATTTGTCACATGGTAACGTACGACACGAATACTATCACTTGTTCATTCATAAGTTACACGCACGACAGTACTGTCGATTGCTAGAAGAGTATGAGCCAGATAACTATGACTATCTGGGCTGGTATTCGGAGGACCATCTTCCACCTTTTATACGGGCGGTTACGAAAAAGGATCTACAGCGTGCGAGACATTGGCCGTTTGCCAACGGTATTAGACCGCACAGAAATGAGGGCTCAGGTGAAGCCAAGTTGGTATTGGCATTTCAAGTACATGGGATATGTCTAAACAGGTAATGAGGGTTGGCTTAGTGATCACGGGAGATGTACGATGTACCAAGGGGGTCTATCTACAATGTTCGTATCACGGTTCAAGTCATACTATATTTTTGACGCAAAAGACTTTGCGTAGAAGTTATTCAGACATGATCTCTAGGGATACCATATACCATGAGTGATATCAGAGAAAAAGAAGCAATGCTTCACCACATTTCATCCCAGATTCAATCTGCTATTCATTATTTCTTGTAAAAGCGAAAACCGAGCGACGATCTTCGAATCTCCATCGTTGAACCAGTGAAGAATTCGAGGACATAAATTTATTTGATTGGTGCTTTTTAATTGGGTTATTCAAAGTGAATTTCCGTTTTTTGGGCGAGATTTGTTTCTGGAAATTTATTCGTGTGAATTTGATATTGTTTATCGAATTTGTCACTTTAACCTCTAGATTTTTTCTATTCACTGATGACATAACAAGCTGATACAGCGGCATCTAGAATTCCATATATTGGGTAGTAATTAAAACTACAATAACCAATCCTCACGTGAGGTCCTCTGTAATTCTTCATACTCTGCTCGCTCCCTCTCAACGAGCCACTCACGAAGAATGCAGTTCACGAAGAATTTCCTGGAAATCATATCAGCAATGAATTTTCAACGCTGCTTGGAGTTACCCTTTAAATAATCGCAAGAGACGGGCAGATGTCCTACATACATTGCAGAGCACGATCTTATTCATAGACGCCACTATATACAGAGCACTGCCATTGAATTCCGACTCCTGGAAGCACAAAAATTTCCACAATGAAAAGATTGCAAAAGACGAAACAAAATTGTATCTCGCGCCAGACTTCGACGTTGCCAGGGAGTCCACAGAATCGTAGGATGACCAGACATCCATGGATAGCACCTATGAGATTCCGATCCACACCAACTTTGGTATTCTGACACAGACAGTGTTTCCCCAGCATTCATCTCATATCCAACAGCCTTGTAAGATTTCTAAATAGATAGCTGAGATGTGAGGGATATTAAAGCAGCTTTTTGAATCGAGGTATAGCAATGCTGAAATAGACTTGATTGCTTGTTGTTCGGCCTTGACTGATTTTTGGGAATACTTTTCCCCAATTACATGCCCAAGTCCCCACTCGATGCCGCAGGACCAAAGACAAAAAGATCCTGCCGTCGCGTGAATTACTCTTTAGTCTCAATTCTTTGTCGTGAATCTTCATCCACACATAAGGTCAAAGATTCTCTTCATTGTTCAAAATAAACTCGTACATTGAAAGGTTTCTGAGGCGTTTGATAAATATTATTCCTGCGGGCAATATTGATACCTATGATAAATTACATGGCGGCCAATTTACACTTACTCCATACCTCTATTCCATACATGAAATCTATTTCTCCTGAAACTACATCGCGCCAGAGCAGTAGTACGCCGCATCTTCCAACGCCAGAAACCCCCATTTTTCCCTTACACATCTCTAGTATTACCATCAATTGTACCCTTTGATTCCGCCTCCTCAGACTTAGCATCCAAACTATTAAGCTCATCCTCCTGGTCATCAAGCTTATGATAACAAATCCAAAACACAATACCCGCCACGAAACTTCCACAAGCCAGTCCCACAAACATCCACAAAATCGTCGGATTACCCACCAACGGGATGAACGCCTGACAAATCGCGAACCCAAAAGCATTAGTCAATAAGAACATTGCTTGAACGAAGGACTTCATGGACGCAGGTGCTTTAGTATATGCATACTCGAGACCGGTAACCGAGGCAAAGATTTCAGATATACCAATCAATACGTAAGCCGGGATTTGAATTGCAAAATGCACTTCGTTGGGTTGGATTGTTCCGTCTGGGAGAACAGCGGCAGGACATTCGAGAGGTTTGCCGTAACATGGACCGGCTTTGTAGATGAGGTGCTGCACGATGGCCGCATACATCATGCTGAAACTAGCGACGATGAAACCGAATGTGATTCGAGACATGGGTCGGAATTTGATGTGCCACTTGCGCAAGAGTGGGTAAACTAGACGATCCATTACTGGTACGAGGAGAATGATGGCAATGGGATCGAAGTTTTGGGAAAGATCGTTGGGGACACCGTGGGTATTCATTTCTCCGGCTTGAGAAACGAAGTTGCTGGAGAATTGAGCATAGACAACCCAGTAGATAGGATAGAAGACGAAGACCCGACAAGCTATTAATGCGCGCTTGACTTCGTCAACGAACTGTTCATTCCATGGAGTAGTTTGTGGCAGATTGTTCGCTGCTCGGTAAGAAGGTTTTGCAGCGTTTAGATTTCGGTATTTGATCATTTGCCCGATGATCTTGAACGCATCGGTGATGACCGTTCCGTTGGGTGGGCGAACAATATATCGCTTCCTTCCCACAAGCAATGTGAGGAAACCAACCATGAAGACACACAAGCACATAAGGTACGCGGACCAAAACCCAACATCTCTTTCCATGTAAGGTGTTGCGAGAAGGGAAAGAGCTCCAATATTGATACACCAATAAAAAATCAAATAGATTCTTTGAATGGTAACGGTAGGATCAATAATGACACGTTCACCAGTTTCAAGAACCTTTATTGCCATACGTTTTCGGGTGTATTGATCGGCAATTAGAGGACTGACGTTGGATTTGATACCTCCGGTTCCAACTCCAATGATAAGAATGGCTGCAATGTACCCTCCCAATCCAGCTCCGTTTCGAAGAGAAACTGGTAGAGATGTCAAGACAAGAACCAGTAGACCCACCATATAGACGACTGCAAAATAGCAAATGGCTTTGAATCGACCAAGGTACTGATCGGCAACGATGGCACCAAAGATTGGAGTGACTGGTAAGAATATGAGAAATTTTACGGTTACAGTTAAGATGAGCATGACTTACAGTAACACCACATGGAGAAAAAGACTGTCAGAGCTGTCGCAGTTTGATGTCCGAGACCTAAAAAGTTAATGAACGGGTCACAGGTCTGAGAGATTGAATTCTTACCGAGAGCACCACGGCCCAAAGAACCATCCAGTGGACGTTGAACATAATTTTGGAATAGTCCCACACAACCATAGTATGAGAATCTCTCACACAGTTCCACGATAGCGACAAGCCATGCGGACATGGGCAAACTATCACCAACTAAAGTATTGTCAGCTTTTCAGTGACCTATGATGTGATTCGGTTATCATCCTACTTCGTCGAAGCGTATTTTTCTCCTCGTCAGTGGGCTCTACTTCGTCGGCATCGGTCCCTTTTTTGAAACTATTTACTCTCGAATCTGCGGTTAGAGATATTCTCTCTTTGGCACTCTCCGGACGGGCTGGATTCGCAGCAATGGTATCGTCGCTCATTTTTGAACTAGTCGCACCCTGACTCTGCTTCTCCATTCTGGGAGGTGAATTAGCATTCAATCGCTCATAATTTGGCAAAAGTGTTCTTACTGATTGCCCGACATTTGGGATCGTTGTTCGTGAATTGAGATTGAAGCATAAGTGCGGGGGATTAACAAGTTAAGTAGATTACTCACTAGTTTGATGTTGATGTCATTGAGTCAGAACACATGCATCAGCCGTCAATGTTGGAGGAAAAAATAACCTTATAATTAGCATGCACGTTAGAGCTAAGCTTATGACATATGCAATCAGTATAAAAGCGAGGCCTGAAAGCTAGGACCGCTGTCAACGCTGGTTTGAGATATGATATACGAAGCCATCAATTGAGCTACCGGAACTAGTAACATATGAAGGTTAATGAGAATGCAAACTATGCAGGAACAGCCAAGTCCCAAGTTGACGCCTAGTTATGGGTAGCTCCAAATACAGAAAACTCCAATGAGACAACTTTCAGCTCATTCATTAAGAATGGGAGGTAGGTAAACTCTGAGTATACCAAATAGCGAAGAAAGGATCTCGTTACAGAGATTTGATGTGGAAATAAACGCCGGAGCAAAATGAAACACAAAAAGAGAGAGTAGTAGTCTTTGGACTAGCCGAACTTCACCGAAACTCAATTACGTTCTACCGAGTACGAAGATTATACCGGTACGTCCGCCCTTATTCCCCATCGCTCCATTCCTGAATATCCCTTAGCATATCATCGTGTAAGTTCTAATCACACGTTGCTTTCACCATAGCCTACTTAGCATGAAGACTAGTTGGTACCCCGCCAGTACTAGCTATATTTAACTGTTTCGTTCGCTGAGTGATTTTACCAAGGCAATGGTGATTATTGATTGAAGGATGCGGACCATTAGAAAGGCATGATCTTTATCTATACACTGTAGATCCGGTGGGGTAATGGGCTCGACGGGTTGTAAAAGATGTGCGCCATGATGAACACCGTTGTTTAACCTTTGGACTAGTTCGGAGACATAATTGATACGAAGAGTGCAAAAAATGAATAGGATATGCGATCTGCAACTCCAAGCCCAAAAACTTCATAAGTGAGGGACTGAGTGTTGAGTAGTGCAGATAAGGTTTTGATGCCAAGAATGACGATCGTGGCAGAATTTGATTTGGGCAGCGGTGTAATGTGATGAAACTTTTCATCACAACCAACAATTCAAGGAGATCTTCAGACAAGTAAAACATCGTTCATAATTTGATGAACCATACATAGAATGAAAGAGACAAACCATCTCGTCGATGAACATTAACAATAAATTATTCAGCACTCTTGAAATGCTCGGTCCCCCTTTCAAAATGTTTGAAGAACAACGATACCTGCGAAAACCATTCGAGACTAATCTGAAGCATTTCGGCAGCTTGTGCAGATAAAGGAAACCAAGGAAACCGAGAGTCGGCGAAGTTACAGTAGCCCTTATATGATGCTAAAACCAGAGTAATATCGAGGCTTTGGAATCGGATTCCTGCACTCATGGTGGTGTAGGCGTATATGTTGCTGATATCTAATGTTAAGAGTTTGGGTTCATAGAAACAGCAGATGCAAGTGTTGAGTGCTTGCCTTGATAATTATGTGTACAAGCGTACGCAACGGCATAAACTCAATGCCGCCTCGTACAGCCAGTTTAAGCCAGAGTATCCCCAAAAGACCGACATAAAATCGAATAACTGCTTTGGGTGTCCCAGAGTCAACAAAGTCAACCTTCAACGATCCTTGTTTTTACTCAGGATCAAATATCACTCGTAGAACTGTTGCCGACATGGGCCAAGTCTATTATGTATGATAGTTGACAAAGACGACCAGAAGATGTGATTTTCTGCATGGGTACGACAGGATCGATGTTCTCGCGTCGTTTGTCCGCAAAAAGTTTTATAACGACCTCATGTGGTCGCGAAGGGGGAAGTAAGAACTAGTCGAGATGCTCATTTTGCTTCTTCCGATTCTTCGTCCTCTTGGAGAACATTGGAGATCGCTGTTTAACACTCAGTTATCGAATTAAATATAAAAAGAAACAAGAAGAGGCTGAGATCGATTCAAAGTCGTATCTGAATAATGAAAGTGGGTGGTAGAAACGAAAGAAAAATTGAAGACGAGACTGACTGATCGTACCTGCCACATTGAGTGAGCAAAATCAACAATGTTGCAACAAAATAACTCACAAGACACAATCCCAACTCAGCAAACTTCAATTTCAGGATCACATCACCTCCAAAAAATGGTATACCGTTCACGAGTTCCCGAGATGATTGATCTCCTGCGCCAGTGTGGCCGAATTGATCTGGAGCCATGGCTTCGAAGAGGTCTCCAAGCATACTGGCCAGACATACAAGCCACATTTCATAATTTATTGACTCTTGATCAGCAAACCGAATTGTTAGAGCGCTTTGTTTTCTCCTTAAACTGTAAGCCAATTATCTTTTCTTGCGATAACTACATGATTGGATCTAACTTTTCTCTGAGTCATTTGTGGTACCCCTTTCCCTGGGGATATAGAATTAGACCACATGCCTATGCTTCCAGACCCTGCCGATGGGGGTTATTCAGCGCATTCACCCAATGACGACTTTATTGTATTTGGAATTCCTCCTTTGTCGATTTTTGCGAACCATTTTCGTGCGATGCAAGCCAGAGAAAGGCGGTTATATCAACGGGCAATGCAAGTTGTACCAACAATTTCTCAGTCACATATTCACGACAATCGTCGTAGAGCAGATGGTCCGAGGCTTGAACCTGCTACTTTGAGATCTGCGATCTTACGTCCACAAACCGATGATAGTCGAGATCATGATGGTCAAGATGCTCATGACCAATATGATGATAGTCAACAGGATCACGGTCAAGATGTTGATCGTCAAGATGACTATGGTTCCACCACCCCAATACTGGCAGTAAATTCTGCACCGGAAGATGATGACATTTGTCCCATTTGTCGGGAAGAATATTCTGATGCCCAGCCTCCAGCCTCACTCATTCCGAACTGTGGGCATTTTTTCCATTTGGGTTGTATGGTGCAGTGGATTAACTCCGATCCTATCGATGGCCAATTGAGAGACAGGTGCATCTGCTGTCGTAGACAATACACTGGAATTCTCTCTCAATTGTATGGCGAGGTGACTCCACCTCAAAATGGTGAAAACTTCTGGCGCAATGACAATGGACCATTGATAAGTGAAGTCTTTCCGAGACGAGTAATTCCGTCTCCTCGTTCCTCATCCGACGAATATCAATCATCGGAAACAACACTGGACGAGAATATTGTATATGGCACCACGGGTCTGGGCTGGTAATACACACCTATTGAGACTAATGATGGGGTAGCTAGCTATTTCGAGGTTCCTCCCGGACAAGGGGCTCGTAATGACCAGGCTGAGTCGCAGGAATAGCAGGAGAAGAGGTGAATTTCCAACTATCTGCATCTATTGATACCTGGAAAGTTGTAACGAGCAAATGTTGATGTTCAAACCTGGTGCGCATGATACTATCCAGATGAGGGGGAATCGGTACGAAATCAGCGACTATCAAACATTCTGTCTTGATAGCATTGGATAGCGAAGTTAAAAAAATTATCATTTCCAGCCTTCAAATCTTGCCTTCCATGATATCATCTCGAAGGTTTTCCCAATGTTTGCAAGTTATCGAATGCCAAAACTCTACGTACAGAGAAGTGTTCTTATACCCAAGCTTTTGCACTCCAATTACGACCAGTATACACTCTCCGTGTACAGTTAGTGCTGGAAACGAGCGGAACCCAGCCAGTTTGCCTAGCAGAAAATTAGAAACTCCACTATTAAAGCAAGTAATTTTGTGTAGTTTCCTCAACAGTGATTTTCAAATTCGAACTGCCATCCGAGCTAGGAGGGGTATATCTGTCAGGTATATTTGTCATACTGTCATCTTCAATAGTTCCATCATTTTATTGATTGCTATGGCTTTTCACCTGGTTTGAGCATGCCCAATTGATATATTTGGGCTTGTTTCGGCAATCAGAGCACTTATTTATGTTTGCTAGGCGCAATTAAGGTTAATCCTAAAGTCGCTAGCGCCAAGTAGTTGTCAATCTTGCTATCGCACGACAGACAATTAATTGCCACATCGTTATTTGTCTCACGCCTATCATATTTGCGGCTTTGGCGATTAATCATACAGCGGTGCGTGATTTCTGTAAGAAGCACATATAAACGGTTTCTCAAGAAGGATTCAACTTGTATACTTCAGGTCATCGACTCTAACTGAAATGCCTTCATAAAAGAGTGCTCATCAAGACTTTACTCTCGCCGGAAGGATTCTCCTAGCTTGCAGTGAGTCAGTCAATTTTATCAATTTTATTCTGGTGGGATCGATGAATTTTCTGAAAATTTCTCCGCGTTATGTGTGAAGCTGATTTTCTATTCATAAAAAAGTTATAGATGGGCTAATAAGTTATTTGCCAAAAGGTTTCCGATACTTTAGCACTGTATTTTTATTCAGAAAATTGCAATGTTACTGCGAAGGCTCTTACTTACTTTTGTCAAAGTTCTGATCTTTCTAGTAATGCGCAATTTTCAAGAGTTTTCTATGACCTAGTGGTTTGCTGAATGTCTATCTAGATATAAGAATGATCTTCTCTGTCTGTACTGGGAGGTTTTCTCTATTCATACCACTAACAAGCTTTGCCTCTCTGTCAAGGTCACCTGGGACATCAGAAGCTCTCTGTCAATGATTGAATTCAACGTACAATTCTATTGCATGTATCTTATATACTAAAGTTTGAATATCATTGGTGGTTGAACTACCTAGGTAAACTACAATGCATCTTGAAATGAATGGGCATTCAATTCACAAAAATTCACCAATCGCTTCGTGCCCGAGGCTCATTCTTTGTAAGTTGGATAGTGATTAGTATATAAACGGGAGATTTATCGTGATTCTTTTAATTTTAACTGGACGAAAGGAGTTTAACTAAGTATATTTTGTCATAATGGATGTCATAATAGTCCGGAGTATGTTCGGGCCCACAGCTGCTGTATCAGAGATTCAATTATTCTAACAATCTTGTTTCTTGCTGCAACAAACACAACTTTCAATCAGTTTTCTTTAGACCTCTTTTAATTTTATCGTACATTGAACGCAAACAATCAGATTCAGTCTACAATTAGCCATGAATAATCAAATCCAGCTCCGACAAGATATCTACAAGAGAAGATATGAGAACGGCACGTGGATTTACAGCCTGGTTGACTATCCAAGAAAGCTTACAGTTAACGAGCGGTTAAGAATTACCCATAACATTCCTGTTATTCTTTCAGAATCTAGATATCACACGGCGGAAGAGCTAGAGAAAGCTGGCTACCACTTCATGAAGGGTGGCGAGAAGCACCAATTCGAAGCACTTCATAAAGATAAACCTCCCACCCGCTTTACAAGCCATCTCAGACTTAGCGAGATAGAGCTAGCGCAATGTGGTCTTTTGGAGGAACTTGGCAAACTTCGTGAGATTGCTCTTCATCCAGACTTTCAGACTGGCTTGGCAGCGACGATGAAAAGAAAATATAGCTACTACCCAAATTGGAAGGGAATGCAATATGAAGTTGGAGTCGCTAAGCAACCAGGACACGGAGTCAAGAGACTTCAGCTGGCAGAGATTCTGCGTCGAGATACAGACGATTCGAAGAAGGATTTCTTTCATAGAGCTCGCAATCTAGGCCAGAAGTTGCTTGATATCTGGATCCCTGGGTACGAGAATACCCATTCTTTTCAAGATATTGAATGGCATCGAAATACAGCGATGACCTTCAGCGAAGATCCGAATACAACGCTCAACTCTATGCAGCTCAATTTCACAAAGCAAGGAACAGTCATCACAGATGCTTTGAAGGGGAAGGCGCATCTACACTGCGATAAAGACGATCAACCAACCTCCTATTCCGTCGTGTTCTTCATGTCAAACTTCGATGATAGTTATTGCCCTGGTCATTTTATCAATACTACCTGGAGGACTATATTCCCTGCATCTCCTTTCCAGGTGTATATCTTTTCTGGAAGAACATGGCACTGTGGTACTGGCTCAGGATTCTATCCAGGGTGGGTAGGCCCAGGTCATCCACTACGATTACCAGCTCCATCGGTCCCGCTTCCTGACTTAAGTCCTCTTGCAGCCGGAAACAAGATGAGATGTAACATGGTAGTATATCCAACTCGCAGACTTCTAGTTCCTCAGTTCAAGGAATTGAACATCGAGATATGGCAACCACAGGGTCTTCACGTCTTCACCAACATTCGAACACATCAGGAATGGAAGTTGAGGCTGTTTATTAAGCAGGAAGTATTATTTAAGCTGATCGCATCGCTAGAAACTAAAGTACTTCTACAAAAGCACTTCCCTGAATGGATCCGAAACTGGTGGTGGATGATGACTTTTGCTCCAGACATGTTCTGGCACGGTGTCGACGATCTTTCTCATGACGCAGAGGAGAGATCCTTAGCATACTTCAAGCAGTTTGAGGATGAAATCGACAAGAACGATACCAAAGAACCCCTTCCAACAAAAACCGGCAAGAACAAGAGAGTCTCGCGCACCGAAGAAGAGAAGGCTATCACACAAAAGTTCAGCGCATACTATGAAGACCTTGCAGACTGGGAAGCTTTGAGAACTACCAATCCCGATTGGTTTATTGGGCTATTCTGGTGGATGGACCCTGATACTGGAGAAAAGACATATCCTTCTCGCGATATGGCCATTAAGACAATCGCGTTGGTTACTACCGAGCCTTGTGAGCAGCTTACTGCCTTGGAGGAAGATATAGCACAGGCATATGATGGTTTTGGCGACTACAAAGGCGAGACAGTTTTCACGGAACTAGATTCTCCTCGTGCGTTTGATCCAGCTGTGGACACTGTTCCTGCAAATCCTGGCTGGGTACCCACCGATGATTGGCAACCTGGTCCTTTTGCAGAGAGGACTGGGGAATGAGTTATTAAAAAGCAGATGATCTTTGTAATGATATTGAGGGAAAGACGCCAGCAGATAAAAATGGTTTTGTGCTCTAGGTTACTATCTGGATATCGATCATGTATCATAAAGAGGCATTTTGTTACTTCCTTATACAAGTAATAGCTTCCCATAGATAACATAATAATGATTAAGAACAATTACAACTATATAGACTAAAGTACTTGGCACTTCACAACCAAGTTGATACCAACAATTACAGATTCTACGGATTATTTTCAGTTCTGCTCGAGAAATTGCTTATAAAATACCCACGATTAATGATTATTTGACTTATGGAACCTATTGAACCTTCGGTTTGTTGATTTCGCGTTTTATCGTTATATCAGAATCAATCACATATAGACGGACATAAGAATTCCCTTCAAACGGATCTGAATTCCAGAAAAGCTCTTCGGTCAACCAACACAGCCATGAATTATTCCCCAAATTACTCATATTAAGTTTCAACTGTGCCTAATTTCAAGGAACTATTACCACTTCTCGACCCAGCATCAGATAGAATGAAGGGTAATGGAAGTCAAATCTAATGGGGTGAATCTATGGAAACTTGGATACACAAGGTTTAAACATTCTTCTCGCAACACTAGTCTGTGAGTAGTTCCGAGCAAGCTATTCCGTCTGTGATTCAATTTTCTCATATGACAAAGAGGCTACTGTATTGATATCTTCAAAGCCATCATATTCACTCTTCAATTTCATTCGCCAGAAGTTCCTCGGCACACTGATGATCGACATTTAAGTGCTTCGATTGACCTCGAAGAACCTGAAATTTTTTCATACAGGACATAGCACCATGGACCAATCCCGCCCCTTCACTACTAGTTTCCACGACGATGTCAAATACAATGGCTCTGGATACTGGCTACACACAGTTGACGCGAAGTTGAGGAGCCCTAAACTAGCAAAATTGTCTTGCACAATTCCTCCAGAATTGGATGTAGGTAGACAGCATACCGACAAGGAGCTTAGCGATATTGGCTACATTCGACTAGAGCCAGGTGTTTGCCATTTTGTAGCAGCTCCCAATGCTCCCGATGGCAAGCGATTCGACCACACATACCTATCTGCAGCCGAGATTGAGAGGGCTGGTCTTCTCGACCGCCTAGTTAAAGTACGAGAAAAGATGCTGCATCGCGACTTTCAGCCGAAGTTACATACTACGATGAGGAAGGTACGGAGCCTTAAATTCATGGAAGATCGTGCAAAGATCTACGAGCTCGGAATCACTATACAAAAGCGTACTGGCCGACACAGTATCCAAAACGGAGTCATAATTCGAAACGATGTTGACAGAGACAATCGAGATTTGACAGTAGAGCTCACAAGCATTGCGAATGCTTTACTCGAGACCTATGCGCCTGGAATGAAAGACGAATTTCGAGCGAAGCGTCGACTACAACGTCCTCCTCTCACGATTGGCGCTGACGAGAATAACACCATCACAAGTATACAGGTGAATTATCTCGAGATGGATGAAGGTATGGATGGACTTCGAAAATTTGGAAACGGCCACATCGACGAGCGAGATCATGCCAATATGCTTACTGTGCTCTTCTTCCTCGGAAACCCACCTCCTGATTACCACGTAGGAAATTTTGCACTGCTAGGGGAGAGAACTGTATGTCCAACCGCACCTTTGTCAGCTCTGGTGTTCTCTGGAAAAAGATGGCATGCTGGTGTTGCTCCTAGACGCTACGATGCCGATACACCAGCATCACTACGCTACGAATCGCCAGTACCAATTCCGGTGTTGCCAACAGGAACTCCTCTCATGCGCTTGTCTGTCGTTGCTTATCCTAGTAAGAGGATGATTGATGTACACCCGCAAGAACTTGGATACGAACTCTTCACGTCTGCTGGCAGCGCCTGTTTTCAAAGTCAAAAGAAGTATCAAGAGTGGAGGATGTCCTATTACATTGCACATGAGCGGGCTATGGTAGCACTAGAGGCTTTGGAAGATCGTGAAAAGTTGGGCGAGAAATCACAGAAGAGGAAGGGCGATGGAAGGGATCGGTATGTCCAGCTAGATACTACTGGTATCGTACGACATACACTACCATCATACTTTGTTGACAAGTTTCAATGGCGCGATGAACTTACCGGCCAAGTAATGTTCCCATCCACACAATTGGCAATCGACACAATTGCACAAATCGGACAGTCTAATGAAGAATGGGACAATCTTTCTAAGGATATGGCACACGTTAGCCTCGGTGGAAAAGCAATTGGAAAGAGGAAGCCTTCAGAAAGAAAGATGCTGGAGGCTGAAACGTATGAAAGCTCTAAGAGACTCAAGTCAAACGAAAGCGCAAATGAAATGAATAGTACTGAGTACGAGCTGGAAGAAAGAGTTGGTATGGTCGAGGAGGAATTCCATCGATGGGAAGAACCCTTGATTGAGCAGGATAATGGTGACGATATGGATCACCAAGAGCCAACTCGGGAGAGGCTTGCAAGTAGAGACTGGGAATCATTTGGGGCTCCGTGATGGATGGTTTTATATTTTCTAGGAAAAGCTGCTTCACGAAAAATGATTTGAATATAGAATAAATGTAAAGATTATGTTCAACCGAGGCACGCAGAGAACACAATCTGCGATAATGAATATTCATGATACTTAGGTAGTTATAGTGACAGCGAGAGCTGCAGTAGTTGTAAAGGGACACTCCACACATTTCTTGGAATCACTATTCCTCGACAAAAGCACTCAACTTCTTTTCATTATAACAATCTTCCTCAATCAACTTCTCCCATTTCTACATCACATGAGCTAAAGAACAGCAAGCAAGGATTAGAAGCAACTCACCTCCCCGGTGATTTTCACCACAGTAGGCAATCTATCAATACCCCATGGCTCATCTCTCCAAAGACTTTTCTTTCCCGGTGATAAATCTCTCCATCTAAAAAGAAAGTTCCATTAGCTTCCCATTCTCACCACTTCATAGACACCAGTGACCCCCGACTCTATTCGGGCCAAGCTTCCGGGTAACAGTAACATACTCAGCCTGGGATCCTCCGTAGATAAGCTTAACCCTGTTCTCCTTTGCAGCTACATGAAGCTTCTCAGTCAAGGGCCCTTCCGCGCTTCGACAATCTCCACACCAAGATTCGTTTGTCTCAGGCTTGAGGGAGGCGAAAAAGATCACGTATTGTGGTTTGGTTGATCCACTGAGATCCTTTTGAAGGACTTCTGGAGAATCAGAGAAGATAGGGAATGAAAGAGGCATTTTCGTGAAGCTGGATCGAGTTCTGTAGATTTGGTGATATCGTTGGAGATGAGACGGAAAAATAAAAAACCAGATGTGGAGGAAGGTGGGGTAATTAGCCGAGGTGAACCCGATGTTTCGCGGAGGGGACTACCACACATGCAAATGTTGCCGTTCGCACACTGTAAAATGCAGAGCAAGAGCTGTTTCAGCTGAGCCGCGGCAACGCTGAACACTTCGACTCTCTTTTGAAAGTATTCCTGAAGAACAAATATCTTTTGCCTGCAGTCCTTCTCGTCTCCACCAACCACAATCGATTACCTTGTCAGTTGGCGGTTACGTCCAGGGCTTGGCTTCTCTTGCTTTACTTGGCCTCTTATAGGTTGTATTTGCCTGTTCTTAAAAGGACAAACCTCAGTAAACTTTGAAGAACTAAAGATGTCGAAATTAGTTCTGATATATGGTATTCGCCGATTGTCAAGAAAAACTTAGCCAAATTTAAACCAGTTTTTCTGTTTCTAAAAGTTCCAATAGCTTGTGACTCAGAGACAAATTCTTCCCAAATGAGAAAACAAGATACTATGTGTGGCCAAATGAGTTTTCTCTGCGGGGAATCATTGCAGAGAAACAGATCAAAGATTGAAATGGCAATTATATCCATAGCCTCCAATGCAAGATCTTGCCTTTTGGTTCGAGACGGACGATATAGCGCCCACTTTCGCGTCATTGGGTGGAACGAATAGACCACTCCCTGTGACGACACTGAATTCGATCGAAACAAACTGAGATCTCGGAGCTCAGTCACCACTGCTAAAAAGGCAGAGCTGTTCCACTTATGCGTCTCCTGGTCCTGGAACATATTGATCCATGATGGTCTCTCAGAGGTCGTCTTAAAAAACTGGCGGAAGACATACTCTTCTATGCAATTGCTATCGTAAAAAGCGCTAATGAGAAGGAAGTGTCTCTTGGCCTCAATAATCTCTTTGGAACCAGATATACGATTGTAGGATAGCTCCCATGTAGTGGATACAGTGAGCGTTATTTCTTGATCGGGGACCGCTGGGTCCAGTCTTTTGTAAGTCTTCAGGGGCAGAGACCATGCCATAATATTTTCTTGTTGCTCATTGAAATGCTCAATAAATAGACTGAGTTCGATTCCTGTAGACTTGATGTATGCTCCAGCTTGATCCACCGCTAATGCCAAGCATGAAAGATGACAACATATCTTGCGGGCATCTTCAATGTTCTCATGGGTTCTCTCTTGATTCGTCCGGTGGAAAAGTAGATTCATAGCTTCTTCCTCGAGCAGATCGCCAATAGTTATAGAGTAACCAAGATCATTGGCTGCTGGATGACGACCTGTTACGATGATGAGACCAAAATCGCTTTGTGGAAGATATTCCGTGATGTCATAATCTGCGGGATCATCGAAATTGTCAAAGACGAGAAGCCACAGCTCTTTCCACGTTTCAATCTGATTACGTACTAGGGCTGGAAAAGATTTTATATCGACTGCTTCCAGGGATTTCCCAATGATTGAGTCTGCGATTCTACTGAAGCTTTGTTCGACTGACATCTTTGCAGTACCATCAACCTACAGCACAGCATTAAACCCGCCTTGCGATACTGCTTTCCGACAGTAATGTAATGCAAGTTGGGTTTTCCCAGACCCCCCCATTCCTTGAAGAACTATAGTTTTCGATGATCGTTTTAGCAACACATCATTGAACATACAGTCAATTTCATGCATGCAAGATCTAGGCACGAAACCATGTCGATCAGCTTGGGAGCGTGGAAAGCAGATGTGTTGAGTGACTGAAGGTAATGTTATATGATTATCTAAATTCATTAGCATTAAGAATGACATCCCAAACCATAACAACTAATTACCAAGCTGATGTAATCTAATTCCCGGCTGAGTCTTGTGTGCCAAAGCTGCTACAATGCTATCAATTTGATAACTGATGTTATCCTTCCGAAGGTATGCTTTCGTATGACTTTTGATTTGTTCAAGCTCCTTCAACTCTTCAAGACTAATGTCTCCTATATCCCTGCCAACGTTGATCCTGTAATAAATGCCAGGAATATTGCTATACTTATTTTCCATCTCGGCAGCCTCTTTCTCTGTTGATGTTGCTATGCCTTTTAAGACGTCCACAAGGCTCATAGGAGCCACTTTCTCCATCAATGACTTTGGTCTTGTGAAGCCAAGAGCTTTGGGGATGCCAGCACCAATACTTAAAATGCAGGCAACAGGCCTCGTTTGTGCGAATTCGGACTTAGCTTCTGATATCAGTTGTTTGATAGGGTTGTTGCAGCCAAGACCAGCGTCAACAAACTCTTCATCAATCCCATTCTCTTCAATGAAGATGCTTTGGAAGAAAAGAGGGGCTGCACAAGTTGCACGAGCTGCTTCCCAAATCTTGCAGTTGGGACTTCGATCTTTGCCACTGACCATGTACGGAATTTGGTGGGGTCCCCTTCCACATGGCTTGAGCTGACAGCACACACGAAGCTATAGATGGCGAGAAAGTTAGCATTACAAAGAAAGTCTCGAGGGTGGCACATACGCTTTGCACGAGTTCTCTTCTTCGTCCGCAAGCATCCTGTCGTCGCCATGACCATGCCCATATTTAACTTCTAGCAAATTTTTGATTGCTCTCTCCATATTCGATGACTCAAATGCGTAACCGTGCAAACTTTTCAATCTTTTGTTTTTGAAAATTTCTTTCCCTAATGAAGCATAGCATCTGATTGCTTCTGCTGTTGAAAATCGAAGTCGTCCAAGTAGCAATGCGATCAAACTAGAGTTGGTAAGAATCTATTCTAAGCTGGGAAGTCATGAAGAGTGAGACTTACCCTCCAGTACTTGTTCCACATATCATATCAAAATAATCTGCTGGTAGTAAATCGACCGAAGATTTGAGAGTGTATTTGAGACGGTTCATAATCTCGTCAAGAATGATCAGCTCGGATAGTCCTCGAACACCCCCGCCATCTGTAATCATTCATTAGTGATTGTCGGGAGCCTAACTAATAAATAGCCTTCTTACCAAGCGATAAAAGTCTCAAAGGTGGTGCAGTCATTGCATCCTGTCCGGAAACATAAGTAGATGATTCAAAGGAAGACATAGTCAATAATGTATATAGTCGTTATTCAAGATGAAGACCAATAGTGGAAAGAATATGCCGAAATATAATGAAATAGAGACTTCAACCAGAGTAGAAAAGAAAAGGGTAAAAGTCCTGATTGCAACCTCAGGTCTAGCGTGTTTGTATCTGCGCTATAGACCAATTTTACGGATGATGCAAATGTAGACACGTCGGCGCTTGCATTTGTCATCATCCATTTCTACCTATAGAAAAAAATTTCATTACCATTCAAAAAAGAAAAAGAAAAAGAAAGAAGAAAAGACTTGAGACACGTTTCCCATTGTCCCGACGGCAGATTGATGGTATCAAATCAAACTTCTCAGAAAAGGCATTGCTTCCCAGAAATTCTGATATCATCACGGGTGGCTTCATTTCATCAAAAATAAATGGGGTATGCTGCATGCTCAACTGTTATGGTTGCACTCAACGACAAATTTTGATTGAAAAAGTAAATTCAAAGGCAGTAGCTTCCCGTCGGTGTGAAATTTTCACCGTTTGTTGAAAATTTCTTTGAGAAGAAAAAAGCATCTGCGGACGCAACTGGCCATACACAATTTCAGAGTCCACTGCAACATCGGAAGACTCCTTGTCCCTTCCGCTCTCAAAAGAACAAAACGAAAGTCAAATCTCAATCTTCACCGACTATCCTCTGCCCTATACCCCCGGCTTTTGTTTGCTTCTTTTTCTTTCTCTTTTTTGATTCCCAAGAAAACATATTGAATACCAAATCTCACTCTTCACTCTTCACCCACTATCCATTCACAACCTCTCCATTTCTACCCTCAGCCCTCCACTCTTCATCTATCTCTCTTCCCTCTATGCCTTTTACCACTTTCACTTGTCCATTGTTCATCCTCTCTCTACTCATATCTGTTTCACCTCTTCTACTCCCAGATCAACAGAATCTGTCTAATGCCATGTTGGAAAAAAGCAATTTTCCCGTATCTCCTGATTCTTACTATCACCAGACCCCCATCCTTCTATCACATCCTACTAGCACTAGCACTGCTACTCTCTCTTCATCACGCTCGCTTTCCACTCTTTCCTCTATTCCATTTACCACCCTCCACCCTCATACACATCACCCGAACTATCACCATCATCATCCACCCCACCACTATCAATCCCATAAGCGCCACCACCAATTCATCCCCAATCCCAGAATTCCATCCAACATAAAGCAAGACACGGACTTCCGCATTGACGAATCCCTAATACCACCTCTCTATCCCATCCATTCCCTCCTAGCGTAATATTACTTCCAACACTGCTACTACCACCAGTCCATTGCAAATGGACTGTACAAAAGCTCAACTTCATCACCATCACTACTATACCCCCTTTAACCATTCCAACCTTCCCCGGCGCACGACTACCACCGTCTATCACCACAACCACTACCATTGCTACCACCATTATCACTTTCCCCTGACCTAGTACAGCATCGTTATCTCCATCTCCAAACCCCTCACATCCACTACATTCTCACCAAACATCCACCCTAATCAATCCTAATCCCACTCCATCTCACCCCAATCCATTCATATCATCCCATCCCCTACAGACCATACAAAACCGCCCTATCCCACCTCATCCAACTCCATTTCATCCCATCCACTGTAACACACCCCATCCCCTCTCCTCTCCATCCCCTCCCCTCCCCTCTCCTCTCCTCCCCCATTCCCCCACACCTCAGCAAAAACAAAAGAACAAAAACCAGCCCTCAAACCAGCCCTCAAACAAGCACCTACTCAACTAAATATTCCACCCAAAAAAGTCCCCAAACAAGAACCCCAAAATCCCCCCATCTAAACTTTGAACTCCATTATGATACCAAATTTGCACAACCCACAACTCAAATCCACACTCACACTCAACCTCAAATCCAAACTCACACTCACAACTCACAACTCATCACCATCACCACACCAAACCCACTACCAAGAAACCTCCCTATATAATACACCCCAATAAAAGAAATAACAACAAGTAAAACATGGGTATCCATCCACATAGAGGTCTCAGAAATTCACGCAGATATGTGGATGCAATTATATACCTCATCACTTCCACATCAAGATTCGACACTCAGCACTCAACACTCAACACTCAACACCCAACACTCAGCACTCAGCACTCAGCACTCAGCACTCAGCACTCAGCACTCAACACTCAACACTCAACACTCTGCACATATACAAATATAAAAAGAACGACAAAAAAATTGGTAATAAAGAAGAAGAAGGTATCCGAAACCTAAACCTGATTGATATCACAAGTCAACCTAAATAAGTAAAAGCTGAGCCGAAACCATACCCCAAAATGATATTGCAATGCCCAAATACGCCAGCATGTTACCAATGCGTTCATATATCAAAATACCTCCACGGAATTTGTGATTTATTTCTCCTCATTTACCGACATCCCTTTTCCGTTGCACTTCCCAAAAATTAGATAGCCATTTTATCCAAGATTTTCATCACTGCCTTGCCCTTATTTCCTCCATCATCCAGCTCCTCGATCAACTTTTTAACTCTCTCACTCAAGGTAACCAGAACCTTGCGACAATATTCGAAACTTCCCGTTTGTTCCATATAAGCCACTGCATATTTCTTGACCTGTTCATCATCGGGTTTCTGTTTCAGGATATTGAGCAGCACGAGATTATCGGGGGCGGCGCGAATGGAATGGATGATGGGAAATGAGAATTTGCCTTCTGTTAAATCTTCGCAGAGCCCCTTATTTTGCGAGTATTCGGGCGACGAAAGATTTTGATAGTCGTCGCGGATTTGGAAAATGATGCCGATGAGGTTGACTAATGGAACACAATCCCTAGGCAGGGGTTAGCATGTTTCTGTTGATCGGTGGGGGCGGGGTACCCTATCTACCTTGAGGTTTTGCTCTCAGCTTGCATGAGCTTGACAGCGAGTCTGAAGAGCCCACCGGTTTTATTGCCAACCATTTCCAAATAATCGTCTTCGGTGGGACAAGTTAGACTATCTCTCCAGAATAAATCCATGCCCTGACCCCGATGAAGATTCAATAACTCTTCTGTGTAAATCGTAATGGCTTGGGGATTGTTGAGTTTCTGGAGTTCTTGCAATGCGCAAAAGTATACATAATTTGCAGAATTGATCGTTTGCGCCGTGCCAAAAATACTGTGTGCGACGGGTAATCCGCGTCGCAGTAATGATGAATCTTCAACATCATCGACGAGTAAGGATGCCGTGTGCAACATTCCCACGACTTTGGTAATGACCTCTAAACTCTCCGGTGGTACCTCCAACCATTCATTGAATGCGGCGATCAATTGTTTCCTAATGTCCTTTCCTGGATGCGCCTCCAAATAATCGTATGGACCGAACAATATCTTTTCCTTCTCTGGAGCCCAAGAGCTCCTTCCATGAAATGCCATGTCGTTTTTTGTGTATTTATTTGGATCTGGAGCAGACCCTCCCTGAATTGAAGGGTTCATGGCTCCTGAGGATTGAGAAGATTGTGCGGTATGCATACTATTTCTCTGACTGATCCAATCGCCTTCAGGGACTGGACGCAGGACCGATTTCGAAGCGGGACGATTGATATTATTTTGACCGTTGGAGGACGTTCGTGGAGGGATCGCGTTTGGAGAAGGAAAGTTTTCGGAAACCATAATGGAAGGACCTCTAGTTGGAAGAAGTCGCTGAAACATTTTGGGTCTTGCTTTATTTATTTCACTCTTTTAGTTGATAGGCGGGGTGAACAAGAATGTGATAAATTGATGCGTAACCCTTGCATGGATTTCCGGCGATGAAGAAGGGGAATTTGTAATGAAGCTTGCTATTTCTGATTATTTGGATCCATTTACCAATACCGATGGAGATGTAGATGGATGGATAGATAGATAGATAGCATGCGCGCGCCGTAACTACAAGTAAGATAGATATATGTTGGCAGTCAGCAGAATGTAACGGTTACGGTTACTTTATAGTTTACTATTTGTTTATCGTTTACCCCAACTCCAGCTAAACATGATTAGTTTTGGTCGTGCAAAAGGCCGGGAGCTTGAGGATTTCTTCACGTGTTGAATGATAGACTTTCCGCAGATGTCTGTGAGAGTGAGAGTGGTGGTGATGGTGATGGTTGCAGTGGTGGTGGTAGTAATGGTAGTAGTGGCTGTGTGGTATGTTCGTCTGATCGTGTGAGAATACAGATACCACCTGAGCATGCATCGGTTCCAGGTATAAGTATATGGATTGATGAACATGCCATATTGGAAGACATGAGGCTGAAGGTCGCTATTTTCTTCTTCCTCTCTTTATAAAAAGAAAAAGCTGTATGGACCTTGATACTTAGGTAGGTAAATACCGGGTATATGTAGATATACATATATATTATAGATGTATATACCTATATCTTGATAATAGACGCTGGGTAGCGACATAGTAGGTAGGGTACTAGGTAGATGTGAATATCCAGAGATCAAATAGTTTCATATAAATATATTGTTATTGCGTCATGTATATTTCAATATCATGATAATAATAAAAATAACAGTAACAACAAAATAAACAAAATAAACAAACTTCAATAGAAAAGAAAGGGAAATACCCACAGACAAACTCACTCGAACCACCGTCTGTCAATGCACTCTTCACTCCATATCAAGCAGCGAATACCGCAAGCTATCCTCGATCTCGCTACCTACTCTCCAGTATCTTCCCTGAAAGCCTTCCCGTCGCTTGGATTCGTTGCCCTGAGAACGATTGATTATACGCCGAAACCATTATCCCAACTGTGCTTCTTACAAAATTTCTAAAATAAGATAGATAGATAGATAGATGAATACCTACCTTCTTTCTTTCTTTCCCATACCTTCTCTTCATTTTCCTGTATTAACATATTCAAATCAATCCATATTTATTCCTTCTTTCCAATTGTACAATTCAGATCATTCGTTGCGATTTTGCGCAATCAATTAATCATTCAAGAATCAGATAACAAAAAATTCAATTCATTCACTCATTCATTCATTCATTCATTCATACACGCCAACCAATCCACGCATCGAACACGAACACCAAAATTCAAACAATGGAAGCATTACTTTCTCTCTCTTTCGATAATCTTTCTTCATATGATGCTTCCAAAATTCGCAAAGGTCTCCGACAGGTCGAAGGACTATTAGCACAAATTTGTCTATCCAATTCTCCAAGATCCAATGTCGATAAACGCCGTTCAGTGATTGACCCGGGCAAAGAACCTCCTCCACGAAAAGCTCTGAGTGAACTACCTAATGATGCCGCATTCCGAGAGTTCTTTCGATTACAGGAGGGTTTCGAATGGAATGTTGCTATGCGATTGGTTACTTGCTTGGATAGATTGATGGGAAAGACTAATGATGGCCAAAGTGATTTGTTAATAATTCAAACATTGGAATTGATCCAGGGGGTTCTCTTGTTACATCCTCCTTCCAGGAGTTTATTCTCTAGAGAACTATACATGAATGTATGTATCCATTCTATCAATCCCATTCTCACGCTTCCCGGAATGATATACATGATATGATACTAACATTCCACAGCATCTTCTCGATCTCCTCGAACCAGTCAATTGTCCCGCAATCCAATCTGCAACCCTTCTCACCCTCGTATGTTCACTCATTGACACCCCCAAAAACACTCGCACATTCGAAACTCTCGACGGTCTCTTAACCATAACCTCCATTTTCAAATCCCGCGAGACAAGTCGCGATGTCAAGCTCAAACTCGTCGAATTCTTATACTTCTACCTCATGCCCGAGACCCCATCACTCCAATCATCAGGCTCATCAAACTCCATGGCTTTAATGCAACGCAGTCCCAGCAAACTCCCCGTTGCAATCAATAATCGAGAAGAGTCGGGCAGAAGAAGAGCACAGAGCGAAAGCGAACATACCAAAACATTAGAGGAAAAACAAGAACTGCTCGGGAGATATCTCCATAATGTCGATGATTTGGTAGCCGATCTTCGAGAAAGTCATCCTTTTGGAGGAAGTATCGGGAGTTAATTTACGCGGTCCATGGAAGTTCTAAACGAGATATTGTGAAGGGGAGGGGGAATTGTTACAGATACTCACGCATGAAGATTTCTTTTGTACATTTGGACACGCATGTCACGCATTAATGGGAGTTATTGTTTGGTTAATTGAGATTGGGGCGTTGGAGGAATTCTATTTTATTTTATCTCATCTTGGATTCCGAGTTTCTTTTAGGAAATCCATTCGGGCGAGTCTAGAGTAGTTACATAGCAGTTGTCTAGTGCAGAGAAGAGAGTATAGATGACATGTAAGGAGATGTTTGCGTCGTCTTTGCATCTCTTTATGTTTACATTGATCGTATTAAGTTCTATCGAATACCATATCATTCTCCATTCTATATCACATCACATCACATCATATCATGTCAATCTTTTTTACAGCAATGTAAAATGGAAAATGTAAAATGTAAAATGTCAACGGTATTTCTCATTCCGAAATGTATGTATGTATGCACAGTGGAATTTGATTCTCCGAAGCTGGTGGTGGTGTGGTGTCTTGGCCGCTGATTGATGATTGAGGATGGGATGGCTCGAGGATGGATGTTGTGCATGCATATTGCTTATGGTGGACTGGACTAGACTAGACTAGGAGAAGGAGACTGTGTAGGTTGGTGGTTGGTGGTTGGAGAGGTTAGTTGGGAGTTGGAGAGGTTAGTTGGGAGTTGGAGAGGTTAGTTGGTATGCTAGGTAGGGATATATATATGTATATATATATATCTTTGTATTGGAATTGGAATTGGAATTGGAATTGGTAGGTGGGTAGGTAGGTAGGTAGGTATACTAGGTTGATAGATGTGTAGATGTGTGAATTGGTTAATAGATGTGTAGTGTAGTTTAGTAGGTAGATTAATAGGTTAGTAGGTAGGTAGATAGATTGGTTGATAGGTAGGTAGGTATTTACTTACTTACTTACTTACTTACTTACTTGCCTGTTTCGGTACCGAGGATGGGATGCTGTGGGTGGGTGCAGGTGGGTTCATGAATAGATGAATTGGAGATGGATGGGAGATGGGTTGGAGATGGGTTGGAGATGGATAATAGGTAGATACTTTTATGTATATGTGTATATAGGTACACAGATGTGATGTGGTATAATATGTTATGGTATAGTATATCGAAGAACGATATCGAGAAAATTCACTGTCTGGTGGTATACTGACTGCATTTTGAGTTCGGGTTTGGGTTTGAGTCTTGCGTTTTGGGTTTATAAAAGTGATTTGGGAGGTGAGTTGACGGAGGAAGGGAGGGAGGGAATATATGATGATGATGATGTGGAATAGGGGATTTATAATGGTTGTTGATTGTTGATTCGTTAAGATAGTAAGGATTCTATCTTGGTAGATAGTAATTGAGGGTTCGAAGTTTGATTTTGGGGTTTTGCTTGAGAGGATAGGAGTAATGAATAGATACAGTCAAATATTGACTAGTAGTTTCCTTTTTCGAAACTACTCGGTCTCCTATACTACTAGGATCACCAGATATAAATATTTTGATTATCCAATCTTTATTTCCTTTTCACTTACTCAATCATATATTATCCGGTATCTTACTATTCTTCTACTCTATGTAAAGTGTATCGTATCTCTCCCACAATCTCAAAGATATCTCTCACCACACCATCCCAATAAACACCCACACCCAAAAATCTGACTCTCCACAAAGCAAACTCGCCCACTCACCCATAGAAGATATTGGTGATCCCATGTCCAGACCCCAGCTCCGATCCGTCAATCACGATTCTCGCTACACTCAGTATGCAAGGCAAGTTCATACATATCCCCAGCTGCACATCCCCGGTTCCCAAAATCATCAACGCCAATAATATCAAGCGATATCTACATATGGCTTACGGCTGACCTCAGCTTCTGCCTTCTAAGTGTTAGGAGGTGATTGAACCGGGACCGGGTAGAATGGATGTATCAAGATGTAAGCTCGAGGTAAGCTACGATAAGACTGAATTTTTAATCGGAGAGTTTGTTTGTTGGTTCGTTGATTTGATTTTGATGGGGGGGATGTCGCTCTTTTGCGGCTGTGGAATTTCTTTTCCTGCTACTTTCTTTCCTCGCTCTTTGCTTTTCTATATTCTTTTTTTCTCATCGAAGGTTCTTGTCCGAGGGGTTAAATTTCGTTATTATTACCCATTGCCATCAGTGTGCCACCAGTGGACGGAGACTTTTTACTTTTCCCCGCAATCGATTGAGGGCATGTTACATACCTATATATTTCTTGTATGCATATATCTCGGCATGGATCATTCTGTTTGAATCTCGCGATATAAACTAGTTTGAATTCTTCAAGATGCCGCTATCGATATCGATATTTTCGCGGTCACCATGGCTGTTAGTATTCCTCGGATTGGGTTTCACGAATGTGGTACAAGTGCGGGGACAATTTGGAGCTGTGAGAATGGAAAATGAGGGGAATGTATTGAGTCCGAGACATTATATGGGATTGAATGAGGGGAGGTTGTTTGAGAGAGATACTGGAGTTTGTGCAAGTGGATATCATTCTTGTAATTATTCCCAATTCTTGATTTATCTTCCCATCTTGCATCCTTTATATCTTTCATGGCGCCTCAGATTTCAATTATATCATGCGAATAACATCCACTGATTACAAGGTCTTCTCAAAGGTCTTGATATAGATGTAGCAATATGTTGTCCAAACACCGAATACTGCATCATATCCCCCTCCAAAGGTCCCGCCTGTTGCGCCATAGGCAGTAATTGCGATTCACCCTGTTCCTCCGCTTCCTTTCTCAGTAACAAAACCATCACCGTTTCCTCCACCACCACCGTAACAACAACATGTATTCCCCGCGCCTGTCCCTCTATCTCTAACTACCAATGCGCTAGTTCTCTCGGCGGAGGCTGTTGCAATTACAACGCGCAATGCGTTTCCTCAGACGGCTCCAGTGGATGCGCCGTCACTTTATTTCCTTCCTCAACCCCCGCTCTCGTCTCTATAGTCCCATCTGGTTGCACAACCAACCAGTTCGCCTGCGCTAGTTCCATGGGTGGCGGATGTTGCGATAATGGATTTGGCTGTGCGGTTCTCAGCGGTACAAATTACTGCGCTGCTACTACCGGCACCGGAACCGCTATTCGTACAGGAAGTAATGGAATTCTCGCAACCGGAGTCTCAGACTCCAATACCACATCTAGCAATCACGGTCTCTCCACCGGAGCCAAAGCCGGCATCGGCGTTGGAGTTGCGCTTCTCGTATTAGCATGCATAGGAGCTTGTATCTATTTCTTCACCATCCATCGTCGGCGAGCTCTCCAATCCAAATCCTCCTCTCATCCGGATATGGATATTCCACCCGCTGCCATGTCTCAGATTTCCGGCTCTCGCTTCTCGCATAAATCGGAATCGAAAGCGGGATCGAAAATTTCGAAAAGACCAGGTGTGTCTCCGCATGGGAGACAGGGATCGGATTATTTTGGGACGACGGCGCCCAGTGGACCGTTTACGGAGAGCGCGGGGACGAGTCCCGGGTTTGGGAGTCAGAGGGGCGTGCCGGCGACTCCGCAGAGTCCGAATGATATTGCGGCGCCGGTGGAGATTGGGGAGAAGGAGAAGGGGGAGGAGAAGGAGAAGGAGGGGAATGGGGGGAGGAGTGGGAATGCGAGTGTGGCGACGACGCCGGGTGAGGGGTGGGAGTATGTCAAGGGAGGGAGGTTTCGGGAGGGAATTGCGGAGTTGGAATAAAGAGGAGGAAAGTTTCCTTGTTGGGGGGTCGGATGAGGAAGTGCGAGATGCTATCTCGATATCACTTCTTTCCTCGTGTTTGGAAAATGATTTTGAGGATGTGTTGGGTAGTGCACATGTAAGGATCATGAGTATTATACGGTTACTAAAAATGTTTATTTCTTAAAATACAATGCTAGGAAGATTGGGTTTTCGATATCTTCAGTTATATATCTGATTCCAATTTTAATCCTACTCACTCGCTTCTCACCTTCATCTCATTTCGTGAATACTGTTTTGTTTGCTGACTACTCAGGTACTTTGATATGTTTTATTATTCCTTTTTTTCCCCTTTTTTTCCTTTTGTTTTTTTTTTTCTCAAACAGAGATTCATATCTCCCTTCCTCCCAATCTTAGATTTTCTATCTCAGATCTTGGAATGCCGGGATTGTTACGAATTCGAAATGTTCTGGGGAATACCAGTTGTAAGAATTTAGGAGTGTTTTTAGAGAGGTCTGGTGGAAGGGGAATTTTTGTGATTGTGATTGTGGTTGTGATTGTGATTGTGATTGTGATTGTGATTGTGATTGTGATTGTGATTGTGATTGTGATTGTGATTGTGATTAGGGAAAGAGATGGATATGTATATGTATATGCATACTTTCTGAAGTTTCGGAGAGAGTTTGTGAGGGTTCAAGTGTGGATGTGGGAGATGGGAGATGGAGAAAAGGCATGCAATCAATTTACCTGTCTACTGGAGTTATATATATTAGCGGGACGGTAGGAACAGCGATACATCATCCCTTCCTCGTCCCTTGGAAAGAATTTCCTGAAAGTCACGGGTCCTGATTTGTGTAAGTATGTATGTAGGTCAATTTCAATACTATTTTGCTTTGTGAGTATGAGTATGAGTATGTGGTAAGTAAGTGAATTGGTGTTGAGATGAAATTATGATATGGTATGTTGTTAGAGTGTGTAGAGATGATGATAACGTATTAATTATCTCAATTGACTTTATTCATGCTAATTCTATAAATAGGGTCGACAGGACAGAGAAGATGTAAAGCCGAAACCAAGGATTTGGAACGTTCTGCTACTAATGATTAATTGCGATGATGGAGAGTATCGCTTTACATACCTACTGATCTTATCACAGCCACTTGATATCTCATCCTGTTCAAGTATTTGACCTCTTACTCAATTTACAAAGTCTGTATCATATCACCTTTCCATACCTACTTACCCAGTTACCATGATTATCACAACTACCGCCTCCAAAAAGATAAAATACCATCACTACTGTTTGAAACTCTTACCTATACTAATAATACTACACTCAATTTCTGGAGTCAAACACTAAACAAGATAACTTCAAATGATGCTCAAAAAACAAAACTTCAGATCCTAATACTACAGTCTCGCTTATTTGATCTTTCGCCGATGCATTGTGTTGCGTGGCAAAGCAAAGTATTGTTCCGCTTGACGATATTGGTGATGCTGGCGATAATGTTAAGCGGAATGCACACGAGACTTCAAAAAGTTGCAAGCAAAGCACACAATAAATGGGGGGAAGTAATTATATTATAAGGTACTACTATCCCAATTATCCTCCTCAATGCTATTTGCTACACCAAATATCTTACGCCACACACCAGAACAGAAACAAAAACTTCGCTAATATCCATCAATAATCACTAGGTAAACAAAGACTTCCGTAGCGAAAGCCATGGCACTTTTCCCTCTCGGTCGATTCCTCTATGCGGAAGTGCTGTAGTCCAAACCGAAGGAGGTAGGACCGTTGTAGCTCTGGGTGCTACCAATGGAGTTTGCAACCATAACCAACTCGCTGTTGGGGAGCAAGTGGGAAGCAGTTTGGTTGCTAGCAGGAGAAACCTGTTGGGAAACGAAGAAGTTGAGACCGGCATCCTCGCGGGTGAACCAGAATCGGCGGGAGGAGCCGGTGCAGGAGCCGCCCCATTGTGGGATGTCGGGGAGAGTTCCGTCGGTGTTGGCGGGGACGAGAGCGTTGCATTTGACACCGGTGGCTGGGGTTTCCATGGAGCCGCTTTGGATCACGGTGAAGGAGTAGCTGGTAGGGGGTTAGTTTGAGCTTTGAGAAGAAGAGAAGAGGAGGAATCTTACAGGCACTGGGTGCTGTGTGGGATGCAGCCGGCGCTGAAGTCGGAGACATCGAAGACGTTGCTGCGCTTCTCGATGGCGGCAGCCGATGCGAGAGCAACGGTGATGGCGGAAATGATAGCGGATGAGAATTGCATATTTGCGGTTTGATGATTGATTTCTTGGTGAGAAATTGAGTGAATTGGTTTAGATGTTGGTTATTGTGAGTGAAGATGATGAGATTGTGTGATTGAATGATGATTTACACAACAGGATACCTCTTTCTTATATATTCTTGCCATCGCTATACATTTCCTTTTTTAATGGAGTCTCCAGAGTGTATGATTAGATACGAGATGCACGATGTACAGAGTACACACAATGACGATCTGTGGAGCCGGCAATCCTCGCTCTCGTATTCAGTGGATGCTGTGGCTTGGCTGTAAGTGGGACGAGGCGAACGTCATTGGATTTAGGTTGCTTTTTGCTTGTACAGAGTATGCATGACATTGTGTCCCTACCTCACATCGTACGTTGGATAAAATTCTAAGCATATTTAGCATTAAAATTGAAATTGCTGGGGAGAAGAATTGATAGAGCCAAGTCATTGGTATCCTAAAGACAAGTATCTAGGTATCACAAATTTACAATTAGATGTTAATAATTTTGTAATTTATTACAAACCTCACAAATGTCTAATTTTATCAGTGATGCATGCCAGAACAAAATCATAACACCCTAAAGTTTCCACAGAATCACTAGAATCTTCTATACAAATTCCAAAGTAAATCCTGCCGTAAGGTTATTCTTACGCTTAATTATCCCCGCAAATAGTATCAAGTATTCACGTACTGTCAGTACCATCAGTATCGGACATATACCCGCTGCGAAACCCCCGAGATCTGCTCCCACTAGGTATTTAATACGAACCCCTATGAAGTAGATAGCCCAAGGTAGGTAGGTCAACGGAACAACGTATCCGAGTGAGCACTGGCACCCGGTAGCCTCGATCGAGTGACTAATTCTATGCGCACAAATAACGATGCATACTTTACGAGAAGATGGAAATGTACTACGGAGTTGTTAGGAGAATAAGTGACACAATTTACCTAAATCAATCGCACCAGCCGCACCGCATAGCCCCTTTTTGCCTCACTCACTCCACTCCCGTATTTTTTTGGGTGGGGTAAAACCCAGTTTGTGGAAAGTCTAATTGAACGATGCGTTATTCAACGTGCGTGCTTGGCAATTAGGGGTCAACTTGTCAAAAAGTGCTGCTGCTCCGTATTCTTGGAATAATGATGTATGTACCTATTGTTGGCATATTTTGCATCGCTTCGCTTGCAATCTTTCGACACTCGGCTGACCTTTGTTCGTACCTGTTTATGTAATTGGATTTTGTCTATGGCCTAACGCTTTGATCGTTACCTGCTTTACTCAGGTCAATACGAGTGTTTGATCCACAGACTGAGTTGTATTCTTACACGTGTGGAATACTTTCTGAATTTGATGTATCGACAGCACACCGCATTAAGCAATGCGCTCCTTAATCTGTTTCGTCAGTGGGTAAAGGGGTGAATAGAGTTGCTTGAAAAAATACTCACCGGTCGGTAAAATCTTCGTGTTGCTTTATGAGAAACCTATGTCTCCACGTTCATCTCAATTTTATTTCATTTCTCATTTGGCCCGAGTTAAATACACAGTGGACAGGATCGTGATCAAAGTTTTGAAAGGCAGATCACACCGGTTTCCAGAACAAGAATGCCACGAAATGTCAGATTTCGTATTTCTCATCTCTGATTGTTTTGAAATAAAGATTATCAAGAGCAAAGAGTTATGTGCTACGAACTTAATCGCACATCAAGGTTTCAGTGTTCTATCAATATGATCGAAAAGTGTTGAGAGTATCCGTTGGCCATGCAATCTTCTACAAATTCTAAGAACCATTATAACGAACGACTAAATTTCGGGCGTTCTCCAACTACCCGGGTCTGTTGGGTATCAATTAGATATTAGAGCTATAAAAGTACACCTTTGTGAGATTTGGACGACTTTGTTTTCCCACAACCAAAGCCGACTATCGTGTTTGTGCCGGACCAGCTCTTGAGGAGTAATCATCACCTGGTACTTTTGATAAGATCCATCAAGTCATTTACAATCAGCAGCACAGGAAAAGAAGAATATAAGAGGTCCGATGCCATGTTCCTTCTCTTTTGATTTTGAATAAAGTCTAATTTCTATTTCCTATCCTTCTTTTTCTAGCCTGTCGCACATGTCTCTAGAGATGAAAGCCGACGCAAGAGCCTCTTTCAATTACCCCATCCAATGGAAGAATCCACGAGGACCTTGAAGGGGGAGGAAAACATCGTGGGCATGCTGTCTCATCATCGTGAGTAATTGCTCCAAACTCATCAGGATTCCTCATCGGGGGACATTCTCCTATCAATTCCATGAAGGATTTTGCCATTCTCTCATACGTCTCTCTGTTACGTTCGGGAATGTGCGGCATGAAGAATTCGAACTGATATCTTTCGCTACCCGGAATAGGGGAAAATGGGGTATTATAAACATACATTCTTTCCGCATCTGGAATGAACTGCCGGGGGTAATCATTCTTCCCCCATATAGCCAATCGCGACGGACGTTTCGTTTACCCCATGGAATTATCACGATCCAAGGCCCACAAGTACCGGTATCTGAATCTGGTTTGAGTTTCTCCCAAGCAATTAACACTACGTATTTCGTCACTAAAGTGCATTACACCTCGATCAGCAGGTAGAGCACGCTGGCAAATCTCAAGAGCGGCTTCGTAGTCATTTCGGGGTCTGCCTTGAGGTCTTGGATAATTTTCCTCCAGATCTTCCTTCAAAACTTTGGAAGCCATACAAAGAAACTTTTTTGAGATGTGGCGCGAATACCTCTAAAACGTTCCAATTCTTGTTATTCTCGGTAAAAGTAGCATTTTGGGCTAGAATAGGAATGGTTATCCGCCCGCAGATTTTGGCCGCGTCAAATTCATGTGATTGCATGTCTCTTAGGGCCCGGATGAAATAGTAAGGTCAACTGCGGAGATAAACGGACGGATCCTTTGAAGATTGGTCTGGTTTTCGTCCCAGACATCACGATTAGGTAGTCCATCAAGATCTGCAGGAACCACAAAATCACTCATGTTTTGTAATTTAAAATATCCAGCAGCCGGACTGTTAGCATCCAAACAACGAAAGAGATATCTGTGCATTCTAGAATTCAATTTGACAACGGGAGTGATTGGGTAAAAATACAAACTTATAATGAAATTCTCTTTGAAATCTATGCTGTATCGGTATTTTAATTCAACCAAAATTTGACGATCTCTGAATCGAAGTCGAGTAAAATCGTTGTTATTGTTTATGTCCAGGTCTGGGAGTTCCTGGAAAAGCAAAATTCGATTTATTACTCCTGTTTAACCCATCTTCGCACTTTCCAGATGCTTATTTAGTATCAAGGAAGAGAGAATAACATGCCGTTACTTCTGCTTCAAGATTGTTTGTTTATCATTCTATGCATGCGTCGCAAGTGGAAGGAACGAGATGGTCAAAAGCCTCGTGCGTGAAAATATCAAGATACACGCAGTTCCAGAAACGGAAAATAAGCCATAAATTGATTTGCAATTTGTCTCTCTCCCTCTCTGAATGTACGCTTGATTCTTGTGTATTGCAATTCGTTCGGATTTTATATTCAAACAAACGAACTTTGAAAAATGACTACAATTCTAAGACGCAACCGAGTAATCACCACATTGAGCAGCTTATTTATAGCCCCCTGATTCCAATTTTATTCCACAAGGCCTTTGAATCCTTTATCCAAAGAGCTTCTTGCAATCAAATACTATAAGACTATTCGTCCCCCTTCAATGTACTTTCTGGCAGTCCGACTAGACACTTTCTGATGAGGCACTTACAAAAGACTGCCTACTTCCAGCATTTCTCTTCTCTTGACAAACTCCTGTGGCAAGAGCTTTAATACTTATTCTTCTTGAGGCTCAATAGGGCCACTGCCATTCCCCCATCTACCCAATGCGAACTTTCCATTGGAAAGGTTCCGTGACGAAAGCCCTGAATGAGCTTGTAATTCACGAAGTAACTGTTCATTCAGGATGATCAGACCACCTTTTTAATGTTGTCATTCCCTTCTGTATTTGACCACTTCACAGTCACCCAATGGGATGGTTTGGTATTAGTTCACTATACTTTCAATTAACGATCCTTCGGAACCTTCAGTTCCAACTTGAAAAGAATAACAAATCGCCTTGTTCTGTCTTTTTGAAATTCACAATTCAATTCACTGCAATCCTCAAATCGGAAACTCTAGAGTGCAAAATTTGGCAAAGCTACTTGGATAGGCTGGCATGTTCTTCAAGGTTTGCGACGACACTCTCATACTCCCCTCGAATCGATGTATCTCATCTAGACTATCACATGCTGACTATAATATCAATTATAGTGGCATGCCCGTGGACGTCGTGGAAGTATTTCGGCAAGATGGGATCGCAAAATATGGCGATACTTGTTCGCTGATAAAAGTCAAATATCTACCAAGGAGCTTGTGTGACTGTCAACTAATACATTCATGCGGCAATCAATGTATCAAAGTTGGAAGGGTACAAATAATCTGGTTCTGCGAAAAACCAAAAGTAACGAAACCAATTCTTAGAACAATTCTGACTCATGTTCAGTAGACTGAAGGCAGACTTAAAAGCACTTATCTTTGCTGATCCTGATCTCGAATAGTGTTCTGACCAGAATCGAGAAGAGTAATCGAAAAGAGTATGAGCAGCAGCGATATCTTGGTATGTGTGATAGCTTGTGTGTTCAATTTCTTGGAGAGTGATATCTTTCTCGAGTTCGAAAGCGTCTCAGAAAGCATCCTTGTCTCCAGATTGTGCAATCTCAGGCAAGCGGTTATCAGTCGCATACGCGAATTTATCGATGTCTGAGAGACTCTAGCTTTGGTTTTGCCAATTTTGGAGAGACTCATTACTCTGCGATACATTCACTAGGCTCGTGAAGCACAGACAGCCCTACGTCGTGTATATTCATCAATGAGCCCTGTTGTCTCGCTCATTGTTCCGAAATCACAGAAGCACATAAGATTTTCCACAAACCATTATTCCTTAATGCTGCCAGTACGACAACGTTGCACAATCTCGAGCGGAGTGTGGCACGACGATAGTATGTTTCGAATTGAATATGGCGATTGTTGGTTTTTGCAACCGCAGCAGTGATTATGTCGGCCAATCGATAGGCACACCAGCACACCAAATATCTAATGTCTTGCAAGGGTGCTTGCACATTTCACCACTATTGCGTCGAAAAGTGTTATTGGAGTCCATTTTCGGCGACATGGATTCACCAACGGAGGTAAGTTCTTATTACCGATATCAATACCACCGTCGCGCCGACGTACATACAACATGAGAATCGGTATTTTTACTCCCCTATGTCATTTTGACTCCACAATACTGTTTGTGGCATCTCTACTCTTCGGAAGAGTTTTTCTTTCACGATGAAGCAGGTAAAACCCGAGCGATTGGCTGGTAATGAGATAAAAGAGGAAGAATCCCTATCCGAGCACATCATCAATGAAGAAAGGAGTTCGAAAGAAGAACTCAAGAATATTTCAACTCGGCTTGCAGCTGAGAACAATTCTCGACCAGAGAAATCTGAGGAAAGCCATACGGTTCAGAAGAACGATATTCCTGACGAAAAAACAGTACTCGAACAGCAAGAAGTTCCATATACATCATTCTCCAAGTGGGAGAAATGACATCTCGTTTTGATCGCTACATTCGCCACTTTTTTCTCCCCTTTTACAAATCAAATCTATTTCAAGGCTATCAATACCATTGCTGAAGACTTACATGTCACCAGTAGTCAAGTAAATTTGACAGTCACAACTTATATGGCAAGTCTCGTCTTATCCCTTGCTACATCATCTCACATAAAGCCATAGATTCTCCAAGCTATAGCTCCGGCTTTCATTGATGGTTTCTCGGATTCAGCGGGTCGTCGCCCGGCTTACATTATCTGTTTCACGATTTACATCATATCCAACATAGCTCTCGCTCTCCAAAACAACTATGTCACTCTCCTCATTCTCCGTATGGTGCAATCAGCCGGTGGATCCGGCACTGTTGCTTTAGCAAATGCTGTAGTAGCCGACATTGCCACTTCCGCTGAAAGAGGAATTCGCGTTGGTTATGCATCTATGATGGCTGGATTTGCACCCGCAGTTGGTCCTATTCTTGGCGGCATCGTATCCCAATACACCAGCTGGAAGTGGATTTTCGGATTCCTAGCGATTTTCTCCATGGCCTTTTTCATTCCACTTCTTCTTTTCATGCATGAGACCTACAGGAAAATAGTAGTCGACGGATCAATACCACCACCCAAATGAAGTCGTTCATTCATCAACATCCGTAAAGAATATAAACTTTCAAAGCAGGGTATTACTCCCGATTACTCAGAACGTGATGAATTGGCCGCAGCCCGGAAATTACGCTTTCCAAATCCATTGGCGACTTTACGAACAGTATCGGAAAAAGAAGCGGCGCTTATATTGTTTTATGCCGGAATCGTCTATGCAGGTTTCTATGCCGTCATTTCTGGAATGCCCTCTCAATTCCACGATATATACGGCTATGACGATTTAAAAGTCGGTCTTATGTATCTTCCCATCTGTGGCGGATGTTTTCTTGCCGCTTTCACACAGGGTAAATCATCGACTGGTCTTATTTCCGGGAAGCTCGTCGCTTAGGAATCACAATTGTGAAATCCAGACAACAGGATCTATCTCATGTTCCCATCGACAAAGCACAATTGCAAGTAGGATTTCCCATGATTTTGCTTGCGAGTTTAAGTACCATCACCTATGGATGGATATTGCATTTCCGGGGAAATATTGCAGAAACTTGTGTGATTTTGGTGGTGCTAGGGTATACGTTGATTGCTAGTACGCAGGCCGTTAGTATTCTGATTGTGGATGTTAATCCTGAGGCTGCGGGGACGGGGACGGCAGCGTTTAATTTGGTGAGGTGTTTGTTGGGGGCAGGAAGCACGGCTTTGGTTGTACCGATGGTGGATCAAATGGGGTTGGGGTGGACATATACTTTTATTGCGTTGTTGTATCTTGTTTTGAGTCCGATGTTGTTTGCGGTTATGAAATAGGGACCGGGCTGGAGGAGAGAGAGAGAAAGGAAAAACAAAGGATTGGGGAAGGGAGGAAAAAAGACGAGGAAGCTGTGAGTGATGGCCAGGATAAGAAAGACCTTGGTGATGTGTAAAAGAAGGCGAAATGTTGTATTGGTGGAGTTTATTCGACCTTCATACCCCGAGGAAGCTGAGCTGAAGACGTAGAACGAACACAAATAGACCTTACCTTTTCAAGTAAACAGTACAAGTTAAGGATACCTGCACATAGCTTTTTGCTTTGTTTTGAGAATAAAATGTGTTTGGTGTATGAGAACAACAATTCATCGGGACTTCCACTGACTGCGGGGTGGCTCTAAAAATCGAGGAAAGCAACAAAAATTGCCCGAGAACGTAAACATTTTCTTCTTTCCTTGCCAACAATCAATCCTTGTTCTAATCATTCCGGCTTTTGAAGCTTCTCTAACCCCTCTCTCCTTCCAGTACTTTCTGGATCAAGGTATGGTCTTTCGCCTAGACTCACAGCCCGTTGGCCAGCTCTCTCGCCCAGTCCCAGATTTATGTAGTCAGAAGTGGCGACGTGATACTTTTTTCAAAAACTCGTTAGCTTGCGACTGCTATAAATTTGGGGTAGTAAGAATCGTACATTCGACCTATTATCCCAAATCGCCAAATCGTTGACATTCTCCCAACGATGTCTCACTTGAAGATCGTGGTTATCAACCACAAGTCTCAAAAACCATGCTAGTAATGCATCGCTTTCAATAGTAGTGAGATCGTTGATGTGAGAAACATGATGGCCAAGTGCAAAGATCGATTTCCACTTTATTTTCCTGTGTTAGCCTTCTGATCAAAGTTAGACAAATAGGATACGTACACCTGTGACAGGATTTGTTCTAACAACCGGATGAACAGCTTCCAGCTTTTCTCCCACATTTTCTGGCGCACCTCTTTCTGCCGAATAAAGTTTAAATCCGTTCTTCTCTGCCGCTTTGTTAAATTCCGGTTGCGCATAGGTAGCTGTTAACGTCTCAAGAAACTTCTGTACAGGTTTCGAGATTCGATCGTAGACCTCATATCCAGAAGCCCAAAGTGTATCACCTCCAGTTTTTGGAAGTTCAGTCAGTCGAAGTAAGGCATAATCAGATGGAATAGGTTCAAATGTGATGTCGGAATGCCAGCCTTCTTTAGCACTTTGATGATTCTTGGCTTCAAAATTTCGGTCGTATATCTTTTTGCCTTGGGCAGATGATATCACACTTATTTCATCATCTTTCCCGCCGTGCTCACGACCGGAGTTGGACACAGGATGAATATGCTAGGATAGTGTTAGTAACTTAAAATTCTCGAGCGAATGATACGAGGTTTACTTACTAACTTAGAGGTTGAAGGCTTGCCAGAAAGCTCACCGAGACGTTGGACAAGTTCTTTTTGAAGGTCATTCGTTATATCGTCTTGCTTACGGAAGAACACAACGCCCCGTTGAGAAACTGAATGATAGGTAAGCAATTAATATAGATAATCACAACACGCATAATTGTAATTTACTTGTAATGGCCAAATCTCGAAGCAAGTCATCGGAGTTGGGGGCATGAATCCATTCTGCAAGATTGACTCCAACATATTCACGACCGATGATTGGGGTGACGTCGAAACTTTCGAATTGATCTAGAGCGCCACTAAGTTTCAACGGCTCTCGGTGTTGTTCTTGAAGTGCGACACTGGGAGCTACTGCAGGTGAAAGCTTCTCACTGTTGCGTGGTTCCTGAGATTTTGCGCCATCGTTATTAGGTTTGTCTGATGGTTGAGGTGCGATCTTTTGGCGAATATTCTGAGTGGTTTCAGAGATAGCTTCGATCACTGAAGGGGACATTTTAATTTGAGAATATGGAGACGTGACAGGTGCACTTGCTTGAATGAATCGAAGAATTGGGAAATGGTGCAAAATTAATGGATTTTATGGGAGCAAACTCCTATTGATATGTGCGAATTTCTTGACTACCAATCTAATTCCTGGGCTACATATGCGATGGCGACAAAGCTTTGGATATTGACATCATATCCTGAGACTATATGTTGAACATTATACCAGAGCAATCTTGAGATTACCATGATCCCGACTTCCTGGTATAGACTCAACATAGAACCCGATACGCCCGTGACACCAATCAGGACGGAAAGCCTATCGTAGAACGAGCATATGAATAATGGAACAATGTTTCATCATATACTGGTCGCTTGATTGGAAGATAAGATGATGGCAAGAAAATTACCAAACAAAAAAGGCACCTATCTAGCAGATTATACAATGATTTCCCGATGCATGGGAAATGATGACAATATCCTAGACTATTGCGTGCGAGCGGGGTGAAAGAACTCATGTGAGCCACTCGAGCATCTCCCAAAAAGACATGCCACCGCTTCAAGTATCTTGTATATAGCACTAGTGCCTTACCATTAGAAACCTGAATATCTTTGAAAGACAAAAAAGACGCAAAACGCGATATAACGGCCGAGAACGGGCAAACGCGCGAACTATATTTTTGGTTTGGATCACGTGTGCACGTGCGTTTAATTTCCCATCCTCTTTCTTCGATATCGACACAGATTCTACAATTGTACCTTCCAATGTCATCTTCGTTAATCTTGTGCAAATTCTATGCCTTAGTTATTATCTGAAAGTTTGCTCCTAATATCATTATTATGATATTGCGGGGTTCCAAGTTGATAACAAGAGATATCAATCAATTACCAATGTGACCTTTGCAGTTATGGCCAAGTCCACCAGTCGCGATTTTTTGGAATATTGTAAGATCTTACGTCTTCTTTCACATTTCATGATTTGGGAGGTAATATTCAGCAATTTACGTTCTGTTTTGTCTTATGGAGCTTCCTTCATGCATCGATTTATATGTTTCTTATTCGGCGAAAGTTTTGTCTCTCTATCGCATGGTTTTAGAAATAACTGTCTTTTGAACAGCAATATAAGGTAGTTCAGATCATTCCGATGACCTTATTTTGCCCATAACTGACAGCACTCAAGGCAAAAGCTACCAATATCCATAGTAGCTTCTCAATTTCTCCCAATATTTCCACAACTTTTGGTTGGACAACAGTGATAATGGTGTTATCAAGTGCGAAGAGAAAGAATGATGATGTAATGGCTGTGACAATGAGAGCCTACAGAACATCTTTGAGCTCACGGGCTGGTTGCTCAATAACAGTGGCAACAGTGTCTAGAGTGTCCGGTGTAGTCTCACTCTTAGTGAAGTTGGCATCCCCTTTCTGTTTCTGGCCAGATTCAACCTTCCATTGAAATTCGGGGTTGGGGGACTTTTCCCTGATGGCTGCTGAGCTATCCATGGCAACAAGACTAACAGCTGAGGTTTAATTCTTATACAAGTATATGCAAGTTTACCAAAAAAAATCCAAAGTTTACCTCAAGAGCTTAACTAAACTTATCAAAGTAGCTTCTCGATAAGAGAATGTCTCGAGAGAAACAAATATCACTATATTTGGGACTTCGGGATATCCAATGAGACCAGAAACAAGTCCTTATTTAGGTGCTATATATTACAAGTACTCTCAAGGAAGCAATCGGCCTTCCGAGCCTGCAATTACGCCGCAAATTTATGGATTTTCGGTACGATCTTGGATTCGCTGTTCCCCGTCACAATGTGGTTTGTATTGTTGAGTTCTTGCTTTCATTTGTACTCGAGATATTGTGAGATTGGCTCAAATGAAATTCGCAATTTTTTGAATCGAACAGATCTCCTCCATTCATGAAGTGTTCCAACCACAAAATTTCGCCAACGAGTGGTTGCGGTATTGGCGGACTTCGTCATGAGTGAAATTGGTCGGCATGTGTAACAGCCATATTAGTGCTACCAGTTCCAACAAAGCAACCGTGTTTTAATTGAGTTTTGATTTATTTATTGCCACCAATAACACAAATATTGGTATTCGCAAGCGCCTCCATAAACTCTATCCTCGATTCTAGCTCTGAGAGAACGCACTACGTTGGTCGTCACTGCATCTTCCTCTCAATTATCAACAGGAGAACAAAACCTAACAGGTCATGGTTATGTCCGTGACCCAAAACACCGTGTCATTGTTCAATGTACTTTCAATCAGCTGAGGAACTATACAACTTTTGCAAAACGGTCGTTTCCCAGCTACGATCTCGAAATTGGCGAAGCACAACAGGAATATACCAATTCTTGGTATCGAATATTACGAAATAGTCGTCCTGGCGCTAAAATGGATATGCTGACATTCTCGCCAGCATTTAAATGCTGACCGCGTTTGTCAACAGTGGGATTTGTAATGCTCACTGAATTGCGCCTCATAGGTATAGGTAAGGCTAGCAGCAGCATCATATAGAAGCCGAGGTATCAATTTACGTCAAAATTATTTATTGGAGTCAAGACTTCTCCTTTCTCAGTATAAAAAGCGTCTATTGCTTATCCCCAAAAACTATTATCCATCCACAGCGATCAAGATGATCACGACAGAAATCGAAATCAATGCCTCACAAGAGACTGTCCGAAGAGTGGTAGGTGGTTTTACCTCTGTTACAGACAAATGTCGATTCTAATTCCCAGAAATCCAGCTCCTCGATTTTCCTAATATCAGTAAATGGCATACTGGATTTGTGAAGAGTATCACACCTTTAGACACCGAAGATCCCCTTGCCGTCGGCAAAAAACTTCATTGCGTTATGAAAGATTTCGAGTTTGAGTCTATTATTACTGTAAGTACATCCAAATATAGAAATATCCATATTTTCTCTTCAATAGACCAATCAGAACAAGAACCTAGCAAAAAAAAACTGTATTGATATCTCGTCCCGGAATAGGAAAACTCCCCAAACAAATTTGCATGGCAAGGTCCACCTGTTATGACGGTCTCCGGTCTCCATTCTTTTCTTGTTGAACCGAGTAAGAGTAATCCCGGAGGCACGATATTCACACAGATGGAAGAATACTCTGGAGGTATCTCGTTCTTGATGCAGCCTTGGCTTCTGGGAAAACCTATCAAAGGCCAATTTGAGGAATTTAATACGGACCTGAAGAAGAAGTGTGAGAGTCCTTGATGAAGTAGTTTTTAGAGAGCATGGGCCTAGGAAGGATGTTTAAGAGGAATACTTTTTTGTTTTCCCGGAAGGCGTTGTGGATCTGAACAGTCTGGATGCTGTAATCAATTGTATTGTTAATAGACTTACACATGATTTCATTCTGGATACAAGTGACTAGCCAGGCTTGGAGATCTATCGGAATCCGTGCAAAGCCGCCGAGTAAGAAGTAGATGCCAAGTATTTCCAATCAAGAATCATCAATGAAAAATAGCATACAGTAAATGAAAAAAGCTTCTTATGTTTCAGTCATCCGAGTTATTAAATTCATCGTTGTATTTGGATTCAAGCTATGAAGTCCATACAATTCCCTACTAAGGAAAAGCAAAATAAAGATCCTCCCAATAATTTTCCTTAAACCCTAAGCGTGGCCATAAGATTTGCAACTTCCTGATACCTCTGTGCAATCTCGTCCGCTAGTGAGTAGAAATTCAAAGCTCAACGTCCAGGCTCGCATACGCAATCTAATATGCAATGCATCTCGAATCGAATCTATCCTAGCCACAAAGCCAACCATCTAAACCATCGTTCCCCGAAGAATGAACCAATCTAAGCAGAAGATGCAGCAGTGTTAACTCCCCTCTCCTTACAATACTTCTCAACTTCCTTCTCCAACTGCTCCTTCTGTCTGATGACTGCCTCCATAACATCCTTCACACGTTCTTTCTCCTCGCCCATTCCTTCACCCTCATTACCAATTTCCTTCCAGATTCTGGTCATTTCACTCAACACTGCACCGAGTTGATTGGGCAACCAAGTAACGATTGGAGAACCACCTGTGGCAACTGGATGTGCGGTTTTCTTGAGAATGTATTCACGAGTGAAACACCAATGACGCCATCTGAAATCACGGACTTGGTCCATGCAGAGGAGATAGAGAGCAGTGGAGGTAGGGGAAGACAGAGCAAAGGATTTGAGATCAACAGCCAAGGAGGCGTTCTGGATGTGTTCGAGGAATTGACGGTGGTTTCCTGGACGGTAGGAGCGGAAGTCCTTGAGGATTGAGGTCAAAGGAGTGGTTGGCATAGGAATGTTTAGGAGGTTATCCATGAGTGGAATCTGGATTTAGTTAGACTGATGACTTTATGTCGCAGATTTCAGCAAAGAAAGGAAAGAAGGGAGAGTGTACCATAGAATCATTAGCACCAGATTCACCACGGAAGCTCAAAGGTTCCTCAGAGACACCTTCGTAAATGACACCATGTGGAAACATAGATTGGCTGGTTATACCGAAAATGAATGTTCTGAAAGAGGTGTAATCACCAGGCTTCGATTTCTGCCACATGCCTCATGACGTGTCAATTTCAGTCGTCTAAGAGTCAAGAATGCAAAATGGGGAAAAAATAAGTAGGAAACATACCATCCATGACAGCGTTGACTTTAGTCATAGCGCCCAAAACCTTTCTCATACCTCCCTCGAATGAATCTCGATCATGTTTCTCAACAGCTTCCAAAGAACTGACAACACCATCAACCAATGGTCCAGAGTTAGACACCATATCTACATGGACGAGAACAAAGCCAGCTTCACTGGAAGTGTGATCAAGACCATGTTCAAAGGCACGGATGAGGCGGAAGTTATCGTATGTGTAGCCTTTAGCTGGATCCTCAAGGCGATAGTTGTAAAGAGCATAAGAGCCAGCATACTCCATAAATGGTTTGAAACCAGCACTATAGAAGAGTCAGATTAGTGTTTGATGAGATGCGGTTGGAAGATAGATAGTTATAAGTGAAGTCGAGGTAATGGTGATAGGTGATCATGAAGAGTGAAACAAAAGTGAGAAATATACATACAGCTCAGCACACCTACTGATAGGCAAACTAATAACCCTAGGTAAAGTTTGTCTTCCCAATCCATACTCTTCACCTTTAAGGAATCTCTCGTGACAAGGTTCCAAAAGGTACGCACTAGCTAAGAAGCTATAGTCACGATAGAGAGCATTCATAAGAGGTAAATTATCTTGATACTTATTGATAGCCTCAGTAAGATCTGGAAGCTCGTTGAGAACTGTCTCTCCAAGGGTGAAAGTGGCTAGGAGACCTGGCTTGCCATCAAGAGTCTTGATAGGCATGCGTTGAAGGATAGATTCTAGAGCATCGAATTCGGAGGGAAGAGCGATGATAGGTTCGGTACGTGGAAGGAAACCTCTGGTTGTTGATACCATGAAGGCTGGCAATGAGTTGTCTTCTGGCTTGGTATCCCTAAGGACCTCGAAGTGTGGGAGAGGGGTGGGAGTAATGGAACCCATGATGAAAATGAGATTAAAAGATGAATAAGAGGCTTGTGATGATGTGGAAATGGGGGTAAATTGGTAGAAAAAGGTGGTTTGGAAGTTCTTGAAGTTTTGTAGAAGTTGTGTTGTTAAAAGACAAAGAAAAGTTCAACAAAAAGTGCGAAATTTCTGTCCTTTTTATCTTGTTCTTCGTGGCCGGAAGGCATTCCGGCCACAGCAAGGACATGACCTCTCGATCCTGCTAAATGGGTATTCGCAGTGGATTCATAGATAAGAGATCAATGATGAGTAGAAGAAAGTATTCACTTGAATATCTCCATTTCCAAAAGGACATTAAAGAGTTATATATAAGATTTTGAATCATTGACCAAAATCAAAGGGGGAAATGAGGATATACCCGACCACGTGTTTGTGCACCTTTAGATTCACCCCAAAATTGTTTGATTTATGCTTTCATGGAACTGTCCATAAAAGTATTTATATGTTCAGTATGAACTCCCATAAGAACTTTCATCCAAATCCATGCTTTGATCATAACAGCTTGTTCTGACATCAAGAAGTGTTAACACTGGTGATGGTCATTCATTTCTTTGTACCACCACCAAATATCTTCGATGATAACCCCTTTATTATGATTGGTGAATTGGCCGGAAAATCGACCGCGGTGGAGAGTCAGCTAACGAAGATTTTATGAGATAACATTAACTAAATGATTGGTCAAATATTCTCTTGATAAAGCTAGATGTCTCACGAAATTAAGCCGGAACTTTGATAGCAAGAATGGTCATGTGATTATCACATGCAATCATTAGTGGGGTGATTTGGAGTTTGGTTACCGTTTTCCAATTGAAGTCTCTTTAATCTGGAGGCTTAAGTTTATCAGTGTGTGAGTGCTGAAAGCTTTGGGGCAAGAACAAATAGAGCAAATGAAGACAAAGTAGATGGCTTCGTGGAGAATTTCACAAATCACAGCCAAAAAGGGTTTCTTCGAAGTCATGCTGCACTGACGACGACGTGTGGTTGTTGCAAATCGGCTACTATCGGCGAGGAATACCTATTTCGATGGGCATTTCCCGTGACTATTGGGTATTTTCCTCGAACACTTCTGCAACAAAATATCAAGGAAATCCTTGGCATTTACGAAGCCAAGTGCTCATGAATCATAGTTCGCACCGCTTATGCTATCCGAAAATATGCTAATTGTTTCCCCCTAATTATCGTCTCGAGTTCAAACAGAGTGCCTTCCTTTTGAAGTTATGAAGACAAAAATGTTGTTCGTGAAAAGCTATCAATTCGAGTTGCTAGTGCTCCATGCGCTTGCCGTTATCCGCTGTTGAATATGTGTGGAAGCTTGAAGTTGATATCCATATTCGAAGAATAAATAAATGAAGATAGTGCTCCTGTACGTTTCTGTATGTTCATGATGGGAAGTCGCCATCGAGCTATCGATTTTACAATCATGTCAAGTATTGATTGAGCGACGATACATAAACTATGAATCCAAAGTCTTTGTTGTGCCTGGTCGTTCTTTCCCATAGAGACATGAAGCACACCTCCTCCCCAGCTGCATTCTGTTATTTATCTTCCTACTCTCACTTGATTTCTTTTCACTCCATGTTTACGGAAATTCAAAAGCGACGCCATGTTCTCCCTTATGGTAGCCTACAGTCTCTTCAGCTACGCAGTAGTTACAAATGCCTACACAAAATTTGATACAACTTGTGCAATTCCAGCAAAATCAACTAATTATGTTTCACCACCCAACAGTCGAGGAACTCTCAATATCCTCTGGACATGTCTATTCACAATCGTCATCTGCACATGGGCAATTCAGCATCTCAATGTACCCCAACAACGAGCCAATCGAGGTTCTGGTCTGAAAGATGGTATAAAATGGAGAATCGGACGTTTCTTGACTAGTCTTAAATGGATGGTAGCAACGATCCTTGCTCCAGAGATCCTACTTGCTAAAGCTTGGAGCGATCTCGATGTCGCACGGAAACAGCTTGAGAAGTTTAAAGCTTGGGCTGCTGATGATGATGTCGAATGGACTTTAACTCATACTTTGTTCGCAAACATGGGTGGTTTTGTAATTCGAAGCTATCCATTATCAAGGGAAAATAACGATATCGAAGCCAAGCCCAGCGTTGCCCTTGACATCCTCGCCGGTCAAACACCACACCCACCTTCAACCGAAGTTTCTACTCCATTAATGGAATCATCTACAGGATGCATGTCTTTAGATGCAAATGACACCTCAATCCGAGTAAACATTTCGGATCCGGGTGTTGGAACTGATGCCCCTATCTATTATCCCAATCCGTACCATCTGACCGCTCAGCAAATCCTCTCACTTCGACGATGCGAGCATATTCGACTTCCCAACATCACACTCGACGAAATCAACGACAAAAGCAAAAACGACACTTTTGTACGCATCATCGCAACCACCCAGTTCTTCTGGATCGTCGCCCAGATCATCATTCGCGCAACCCAAGGTCTGGTAATCGCACAACTCGAGCTCGCCGTCATCGCCTTCTCCACCTGCGCACTCCTAATCTACATCCTCAACTGGAGCAAACCTAAAGGTGTTTCAATTCCCTTCACAATTCTCTCCTACGAAGGCCCCATCCCCACTCCCCTTCTCGAATTCATGAACAAAGATCTCGATCGTTCATCCATGCTTAACATAATTCTCAACAACCCCCCTGCATCCCTCACATCCGGCGCCCCAATTCCAAACGATACCATCTATCCCTCCTCAGACGAAGAAGAAGCCTGGCTCATCGGTTTCGAATTCGGCAGTATAGTTTTCGGATGCATCCACGTCGCAGCATGGAACTTCACATTCCCAACCCATCTCGAACAGATTCTCTGGTGGTCCACCAGTATCTGGTGTACGGTGTTCGTGCTCATCTACACCCTGATTCCCTACTGCGGCATGATATGCTGTGGCGATTTTCGAAGAATTGCGACGCCTAGAAAATTGGCCTGGGGTGCTGCTCCCTTGTTCTTTTTATATGCACTGGCGAGATGTTTCTTGATGGTGGAAATTTTTAGGAGTTTGTGTTTTTTACCCCCGGATGCGTTTATTGCGACGGTGATGGAGAATGTTCCTTATTTTGGCTGATATCGATGGTCTGATCCGTATGCTGGGTTGGTATGTACTGGGATTGAAGAGAATGTATACAGTATCATGGTGTAATTGGTGTTCATGTGAGCTTATAGCATCAATATAAAAGCAATGCTTTGCTGTTTCTTAATATGATATTACTTCTCTATCAAATTTCTGCGAAGTAAAGTCGCAAATCGATAAGGTAGACTCCGTCAGGTACAAAAGTCCGCGGCAGCAGAGCTGTAGAAGGTGGACCTGGCTGTATAAGAAATGTCAATTCTTCATCGAATCGCCTGAATACGTCTCTTGTACAAAAAATGAATGTGGAGAAATGAGTGACCTGGAGTGAGGGCGCTACTTCTTATGATGGACTACACTGTACGGAACTGAAGAGGATAAACTGCATATGAAGAGTTCACAAAATTGAGTTTCTGAAGATAGTTGCTTTGATTTCTCAATTATTGTATTCTGCGTCATAATCATTAAGCATGTTACTAATTATTCATGTCCCAAGGTTTCCCGATCCCTCCCCCGGTCCATTCTGCCGTTATTTGCCCATACCGTATGCCCTGAGGTTTATATCTTAACCTCAGCAGGAATGTTAACGCTCTCAAGCTTAAGTCCATTTTTTAATTCACTCTTGCTTGGCATCTTTCCTCTTCTCATCAACTCTGACGCCTGTGTCATGATTGGATCATATTGCATGGTACCAACAGCAACGACAGTCTCCCCTTTACAATAATAAGCCACAAACTTTGCTTTCTCTGGCTCACCCTGCAATACTAGATCATCCCAACCATTGATAGTGTTACCACAATATCTGAGTTGTGAGCCGAGTGCTGACCAGAAAATTGGAATGAACGCTTTAGGCTTTGCGGAGGGGTTGTTGATATGTGTGGCAACACTTCTTCCTGAGTTTTGTGCCACGTTCCAGTGCTCAATTCGGGCTAAACTTCCTTCGCCACCAGGACCATTATATGGATAAGCTGCGATATCACCAATAGCGTAAACGTCTTTTAGACCCGAAACGACGAAGTTTTCATCAACTGCCAATGAGCCATCTTCACGGAGTTCAACCGATTTGTTGTCTTTCAGGTATTCGGTTGCAGGACTGATACCTGTTCCAAGAATCACCAAATCTGCTTCAAGGGTCGTACCGTCCTTCAATTGTACACCCCCAACTTTAGATGAATCTGACTTCGACGGTACAGCCTTTTCAACACCAGCTTCCATATGGAACTTAACTCCATTTCCTTCCAAAGCCTTTTGGAAAATTCTGCCGACTTCAGCACCCATGACCCTCTCAAGTGGTGCAGATTCCATGCCAACAACTGTAACATTATTGTCCTTAGCTGTAGCATTCGCAACCTCCATTCCGATAAATGAGCTTCCAATGATGACAATCTTTTTATTCTTCTCCCCGATAGCCGCCACGATACCCTTCACATGGTGAATATCACGGAGGAGAAAGATGTTGCCCAACTCTTTGAAACCAGGCAAAGGTAAACTCTTTGGAGATCCACCAGAAGCCAAAACCAACTTCGTATAAGGGAAACTAGAAATTGGGCATGTTAGTATCGTGAACAATTGAGTGCGTGTAGATCTCGTTCCATTATCTCGGATGAGAGTTGTAAGATTTACGACTCCAGATGCTAGGTCTTAAAAATCATGAGAATAGGTATACTTACGAGCTACCATTCTTCGTTGCCACCTTCTTTCCCGAGAAGTCAACACTAGTCACAGTATCATTGACAGTTGTGATCGATCCATCTTTGAACCAAGCTTCATCCCTCAAAGCAATTTTTGATGCATCATCAATGAGAGCTTTAGACAATTTTGTTCTATCGATTGGTAAGTATCCTTCGTTACCGATCATGGTAATCGATCCTTTAAACCCAGCTTCGCGAAGTGCTTCAAGTGTACTGAGAGCACCACTTCCACCACCAACAATTACTACCTTTTCTGACCCGATTCCTCCGGTAATTCTGATATTTGGTTTTCTGCGGCTACCCTTGATTGTCTCTTCTTCCCCTGTAACATATACCGAACCATTCTTTTCGGACAACTCGAACGAAGGGAGGGCATCAAGAGCAGGGGCATTTTCAATATCTCCATTGCTGGCATTGAAACAAGCTGTGAGTGGTAAGTTAGCATATCTCCCTTTACATCTCCGGCATCATGAATATATACCTCCGTGCCATGGGCATGTAATACGACCGTCTCCAGTCAAAACACCGTTGATCAATGGAGCACCATAATGTGTACACTTATTGCCGATAGCCGTAACTTTTCCACCAACATTGCACAATAGCACCTTTCCTCCTTCTACACCCTCTACTTCAATTTCTTTCTTCTCTCCGGGCTTCAGATCCAAGGAACTGAGATCCTTGAGCTTATATTCTTGTGCCATTGCTATTTGTGTGGTTGTGAATTGCTTTGCGAAGTTGCTATGCGGGACGTGGGGAACGAAAGAGCGGGGAATCAAGGCTTGTCGACTAAGATGTCTTAAGTTTTTGGGTACAAAGGATTTGAGAGAGTACATGAAAAGAGAAGAAATGGCAGATGATTGAGATGAATGAGGAAGTACAAGAGAAAGGGGTCACAGAGGTGGGGGATTACCAATTTGTTTTGCAGCTATAGCGTATTTATGGCTGCGGATGTGGTGGTATGATGATGTCGTCGATTCTTCATTCTTGATCGATTGTATTGGAGGAGTAAACTGCATGGTAATTCAGAGCCTTTCATTGGACGAGAGAGAAGCTTGAGCTCTTTCCCGGAATGTCGTCACTACTTTGAGTGGGGTCGTTCGAGAAGCTTTCGGATTGTGCCGTTTCATTGGTGGAGTTATCGATAAGCCCAACACTAGTACAGTTTAAGGTTTAGCTTGCTTTTGGTCCCTCTGGATTCCAGATGTAAATTGTTCGGAGGAGAACTCATATTATATTTTTATCATTGCCTTTAGGATAATGAACATAGGATCTATTGCTTCGTTGATAAATACTACTGTCTATCCAGCTCGGTTTTGATCTCATTGTTGTCTCGAGCCTGCCTGCTCAGTTTTGAGGGAGCTGTGAACTATGCCGACTTTCTAGGTGATACCGGGACATTTACCATCCATTGAAGGATTTCATAAATGATCTCTCCAACAGCAATACCAGTAGTCTCAGCTGAATTGTCATAAATTGGAGTGAATTCCACGACATCTGATCCCACAATCTTCAAACCTGCTTCTGATAGCCCACCAATGATTTGCAACAGCTGTGTTGTGCATGTTAGCCCATGTAAAATTGTCTACTGGGGTTGGAAAAATACCTCTCTTGTTGTCCATCCACCAGGTTCGATGGTTCCAGTTGCAGGTGCATAGGCTGGATCCAATACATCAATATCTACACTCAAATACACATACTCATCACCAACGCGTTCAACAATCTTTCGAACCACCTCTTTGATGCCAAGCTTATCAATTTCTCTTGCTCGAATATATGTAAACCCGCATCTTAGATCGTTGTTCAAATCAAAATGTTGGTCTTGAAGGGGACATCGTGTTCCTAGATGCATATTGCTATGATTTGACAATAGTCCTTCCTCGTGAGCAATGTGTAACATGGTTCCATGGTTGACATCGGTGTACTTAGATAGTCCACCACCGAGCTGTACCGGATCCCATGTATCAAGATGGGAGTCAAAGTGTAAAACAGCAACACGTCCCCATGTTGAGTGGAGAGCTCGGAGAATAGGTAACGCTGAACACAGTTCAATATCCAAAAGCATTCAAACCGTCCATCGCCAAGAAGACTTACTAATGGTATGATCACCGCCTATGCTAATGGCTCGTATAGCCTTGCCATCGGTATCATTTTTTGGACTTCGCGAGTTGATTGATTTCATGCCATTCTCGAGTTGTTTCAAAGCCAAATGCTTATCAAATGGCGTATTCGAAATGTCTCCACAATCGACCACAGTGGCCCAGTCGCGGAAAGGATTCACGTTATTTTCAATACTAATGATAGTCAGAGTTTTCGTCCTGATAGCCTATTTGAATGACCAAACTTGCCTCCACCCAAAACCTGGAGACATCCTTCTGGCCCCTTGCCGTGCAGCATTCGGACCAAATCTTGCACCGGGTCTATATGTGACTCCTAGATCAAATGGATGGCCTACAATTGCCACATCGAACGTTCCATCATTCTCGGCATCAAAACAGTCCACGGCAGGTAGATGGGCAAACGTTCCACCCGAGTTGGATATTACATCCTCTTCCTCAAAAGTCCGCCATTCAAATGTTGGTTTTAAGGCAACCGGTTCATCTAATTCTAGGTATCCATTTTCATGGGCGGCAAAAATAGATGAGGCGATGAAATTTTGATGTTGGTTGTTGGCAAGCTTTAGTGGTCGTTGATACGGCCCTGAAGGAGCAATTGTCGCGATTGCAGCGGGTAGAAATGTTAAAAATGGGATGAGAGAATGAAACATTGTGATAACTTCGGTAACTTCGATCTAATAGTTAGGAGAATCCTTCATTATGTATTCTTGTATCACTACTTGTTATCGACATTGATATACATGTGTGATAAATGTTATGTAGTAATCTTTGAAGATCCCGATGTCCAACTCATGGTTGATCTAGATTGGTGATTCTAGATTTAGGAAGTCCATGCGAACCCCACTATTTGGCTAACAAACGACTAGACCTTATCGTCAACCGTTCATCTGATGTACCTACATCATCAAAAGTATATCCTCTTATTCTATTTTGCCATAAGAGTCATACATTGTGGCAGTACTAGGCCATTCAACTTCCATTTATCCAAATTTCGGAATTCATTTTAGGCCTCCGAATACTCGGTGAGGCAATGAGGCTTTGTGCTTACAATGATTAGTCATGTGTCCAAGTAATCCTGGCCTTTTGCTCAACCTCGGACGAGTGCCGACATCAGCCACTCTTCACAGATTGGACATCTTATCATAATCATTGTATGCCCACCGATACACCATGCAATATATTCAGAGATGAT